GTAGGAAGGTCCCGAAAAAATTCAAACAGCATAATATAACTTTCACTGTACTACGTATATTACTTTGTGAATACGTGCGTATACGGGAGTGTAACAACTAAATTGTTATTGTTGGTACGCAACAGGAGACCAGGTGTAACAGGCATTATAGACGATCAATGGCCATTGGAGGTTTTGCATTGAGAAGAATAGATACTTCTAGTGTTATAACTATTCCAAGCATCATAAAGTTCCCATGCCTGAGAAACTCGGCATAAACTCGCAATGTGTGTACTCGTAAGAGCATCTTTTGCAGCTGTGATCAAGTCATCACACTCTGATCAGGCAGGGCGCGTCAATTTCAAAAACCCAAAAGGGCTTAGAGTGGAGAACCAGCCGCCCGCCGAGCGCGCAGATTTTAATAGGTACGCTCGATCCATACCCTGAAGCCGATTGAAGGAAAACCTTGCTCTTTATAAACCCGTCCGCAGTCCTCTCCCGCACATTTCATCCTGGTGAAAGTCTTTCCACGACGGCCAAAACGTTCACAAGCGTGTTTTTTTAAATTTATTTCTTCCTGTTCGGCAGTTTGGCTTTTCAGGGGTTTGTACATTTTTATTTTTAATACATAGCATTTGTGCAAGCAACCTCTCACTCTTGTATCTTACTACTAGCTAATTTACAGGACTTCATACTTACATTTTTAACATATCTCAACAATTTACAAACAATGCTCACATTTTTAATATACAATATTCATTATTAAATCTAGATGCGCCCTAAACATACATTCAACATTTATTTTAATTTTGAAGTGAAATTTTTTTACAATTACTTATTTACTTTTTTGAAAAATATATTCCTATAGTGGATATTTATTTCATGAGTGTTTTAACATATCTTTCGGATATCGTGAGCGTGTTCTCTTGGGAATGTTTAATTATTTCCCTATTGTAAATTTTATGAAAGGAGAAAAAATGTGAAAAAATGTATTACTGTTATTTCTAATTTACTCGTTTAAGGGTTCTATTTGAAGTTCTCTTTAAATGTGTGTATTAGAAATAAACGAAGGAGCCTTTGCACATTCTCTTAAATATGTTTTGTATTTTTTGAAGTTTTTCAATGTTGGCTGTCTTATTCGAGACCGGACTGTCATAAATGAGTGTATAATATGCTAGCCACGGAATGAGAGTATTATTTAATGATTATTTAGTGAGCGAGGTAACTTTGGTCTACAAAGAGTTAACATTTTGGCCTGGGTTTTGGATGGGTTTATTTGCATTCTCCACTGTTGGGCGCACTTTAGAAAGCATGGGATATCCGCCTCGATGTTATCTTTTGCTGCATTTATATCTGCATGCGTTGTGTATTGCAGTATCGTCTGCGAAAATCTCAAGATGTGAGTCTTCTAATGTGGGAATGTCTGAAAAATAAACATTGAAGAGAAGTGGTGAAAGTGCAGAACCTTGAGGTACCCCTACTCTTATTGTTCTTGTTTGTGAACGTGCGTAGTATATTTTAACTTTGCATATTCGGTCTGTAATAAAGGTATTTATAATGTCCTGTAAATAGAAAGGTACTCCCAGCTGTTTGAGTTTTAACAGGAAACTTGTATGCCAAACTTTATCGAAAGCTATTTATACGTCTAATAACAGCCCAATTTTATGCTGTTTATTATGGAAACCACTTGAAATTTGTTCTACAAGGCCGATGAGCTGATGAGTTGTACAATAATTTTGCCTAAACCCGATCTGTTCATCTGGTGATGCCCTTATTTCTATGAAGTAAATACTCCATGGAAATAAGATAAGTCTTGTTTGGATTAGTTTCTCAGATATTTTAGATAAAGTGTATAATAAGCTAATTGGCATTTAGTTCGTTCCTTATTTAGGATTTTTGCCTGGTTTACCGATTGGAAGGACAATGACGTGTTTCTACGATTTTGGGTAACACCCAATTCTAAGTACTGAGTTATAAAGTGCTGCCCGGAGAGCAATTGAGCTTCTTGAGATTTCTTTCAAGATACTATTTGTTATTTGGACGTGACCTGGAGACTTCCTAATTTTGAGATTATAACTGTAGTAATTTCATAGAGGCTAATAAATTTAATTGGGGTGGGGGCTCTGTAATACGTATTTGTCATGTACTCTAGCTTCACGTTGGTGTTTGGGTTGGGATGACAGTATTTTCAAAATTTTCGGCTATGAAATTAGTCTTTTCGTCGTCTGTGTGGACATAATTTCCAGTTTGAGGGTTTGGAGGAGGAAAATTTGTTTTCCCCCCGTTATATATTTTATTGTTATCCACAGCCATTTTTAATTTGAATGTATTTGGGATAGATGAGTTTGGAAGTTAGAATATCTTAAATTATCTAATTTGATTTCAATTATCCTCGCTAGTTTGTTTATTCTTCTTCTGTAGTTAGTTTTTCTACTTATTTGTCATTTTCTTCCCCGTTTTCGTTTTTCATGTATCAGATTCAATAGTTGTTTAGGGAAATTCCTATTGGGTATGTGTGCTGAAGACGATGATAAATACTTTTGTCTACGTTTTTATATATTGCATTGTTTATTCTGATAATTTCTGATTCACGTTTGATGTCATTTTCAATTGAATTTATTTATTGGTTTATTTATGTTGTTTGTTATTGAAATTTTACCTTGGAATGAGCAAATAACCGGATTTTGATCAAGATCTAGATCCGGAACAACCGTTTGATAAATGGGGAAATTGATTCCTTGGGATATTATTATATCTAAGATATCTGGGATGATTCTATTGTTGTAACGGTAGTCAGTTGGTTCACTGGGTACGTGGATATCTAAATTGTTGTTAGTTATTAGTTGTAATAGCTTTCACCGTGTGTTGAGGTTGAATTGCATCACTAAGCTGTATTCGTACTATTTAGGTCTCCTATTGAAATAACTTTTGAATGCTTCTGGAGAATATTTTTATATCATTTGGGAAAGGGTACTTAGGTGGTTTATAACCTTTTGACTGATGAAATATCGATTTGAAAATTTGAACTACTCCTTTCGAAGCACAATGCATTTATCTATCATTTCCACACATAGCATATCCATTACTTTTAAATTTTTCGCCTGTCAGTAAATGGGTGCAAACAATTTTTATTTTATTATCATTTAAAAAGGGAGTGAATGGATTTCTTTGCCATTTATGCCATTGGCATTCGAGTTTAATATCCTCATCTCATCATTGTTATTTAATTCCATTAATAAGAACAGGAAATAACGATTGAATTATTTTTTGTAACTAAGGAACAATTAATGATAATATTTGGTTTACTATTATTCTAATTAAATTGAAATTGTTTGCATTATTGAGGCTTTGGGTTCTCCAATTTTAATTTGGATTTTCGTAATTTTTAGATCGCAAAGGCATATTTGCTTTAGGCAGCGGGGAAAAGTTTTGAATGTTATCAGCTGGTGGGGGCCTCCTAGGAGTTTGCATACTCCGAGTGGTTGTATTCGAAGTTTGTGCATTGTAAAGACCTTGCCATTGCTTTCGTACACTTTCTGTCTCTATAAATGTTTGGCAGCCACGATAATATGCTGTGTGATTTAAACACATTTAACACAAACAGGTTGACCCCTTTTTGATCAATTACATTGCAATTAATGATGAAATCCTCACAACAAACACAATTTAACCTTAATTTTCAATTTACTTGGGTGTTTTTGAATCTCTGGCAACACTTACATTATATTACTTTGTTTGGAACACTTTGCGTCCGCACTTTAATTACTTAATTACTAGGTAATTTAGTTTCATTAAATATTGATTTAGCATTTTCAGTTTCCATTAAATCTACAGTACCATATCTACAGGACCATAGAGGTTCTCTATTTTTATTATATAGCCTTGTTACGCCGGTTACTGGGTACGTAAGTGTTGCTAATTCATCAAATATTTCTTTCTGAGAGTAAACACTAGGTATAATATAAATTATAACTGAGAGATTGGAATGATAGGAATCTCTGAAAGAATGATATTGTTTATTATTTTCATCACAAATTTTTCTGTAACCTCTGTAGTCTTCAATTGTTACAAAGTGCACTTGATAAAAATGTTTTTGTTGTTTCAAAGTAAAATCTTTTTTGATACTTTTTTAATGTTACTAACTAGAAGTAGATATACGTAGCCGTTAACATTATGAATGAATATTGGTGGAATTTGTACAGCTTTATCACTTTCAGAATTAGCACAATTGCCTAAATTTCGAAATAATTCATAGCGTGAACTCACTGGTATGTTGTCCCTGATATTCTCCTCTATTCCGTGGTTAAAGCCAAATCTTTTCCTCTTGTTTGAATCGAAGCACTAGCCGTTGTAACTCATGTTTTGTGATGCGTTTTCCTGATGTTCACCCACTGATGAAGGAAGTATCAGTGGAAAGGCGCACACGATGATGAAGATGATGGGAACCCGTGTCCGTAGAATTCACCGCCGTTTGGATTTTCGTTAGTCACTTCCATTGACTGCACAATTAACCCTGAGTTTTCAAGTAGCCCTCCGGAGGAGGCACTCTCCACACTCATTTTGTCAGATAAATCGTTGCACTATGATACTAAGTAACTACTATGTAACTACTAATCTAACTTCTGAATACACTGGAGCGCGGCGGCCCGCGCAGGACGAGAACCCGCTGCCTCAACGTAAGATAAAAGCTGCCTTTGACAGGAAGCGTTCGCCTCGGCGGCTCCAACCGGACTGTCTTAACTGCCTAGGACGCGACATCTCCCGAATGTCTATTCATGCCGGTCATGAAAGACTATAGTTATATTTCTGGATATCACTGACTGCATCATAGATTATGGCTAAAACAACGCCATGCAGTATTATGTAATTTAGCTATGACCATTCTGAAAATACCGTCTTCTGCAAAACAGCAACGTGTATTTTCAAATTGGTCACACATACATCCACAGCTCAGATATCGTTTAGAAACTATTTCATATTCATTACAACACAAAAATGTTATACAACAACAAAGCAGATGGTTAATGAATAACATCGCTAAATGTAAAAGAAAAAATATGTTTTTTGTGAATTTTGTCATAAAATATGATACATGTAAATCAATGTTACCTATATGTTTTCTTCAATTTAATGTCGCAGAAAATGACCATGTCAAGCAAAAGAAAAGTAGTGGTGCTAAAACACCACGCACTTTCCCGCCCGTATTTTCATGGACAATTACGCGAAAAGTACTCAAATTGTGAAAAAATCGTACACGACTTTACTTCAAAATCTAACTTTAACGAGCAGATTCCATTAAAGAAAAATATCTGAGTCTTTAACATTTTAGGTGTAGGAAAACATGCGAAAACATTTGAACATTTGCCATTTTCGTAAAATCAGTTTTAGCGAAAATGAAATTGCAGTATTCTCTTAAACTCTCTAAATTCCTTAACACTATTAAGACATTTAACTAGCACCACCTACACTATTTGTAAGATTTTTTCGAAATTGAAGAAAATTCTGTCGATTTGGCTCGAGTAAAAGCTTTGAGATTTTGAAAAACATTCTTTAAAATATTTTTTTACATCAAGCCCCTAATATTCAAAATTTTTTCAAACAGCTCCAAATGTTTTCTTTAAATTTTTTGTAAGTATAAAGTAAAACACACGAACACAGGTGCCGTAGGTACAATTTTCATGGTTAATTCTAAATTTTTGAAAATTTCAAATTTCAAAAAAATTTTGGGGATCTTCCTGCAAATTCCAAAATTAAAGATAATTATTTTTCTTACAAGTAAAATTTGTTCTCCATTGTGAGTTGTTTCATTAAGGTCATGTACATTTTTTAAAAAAAAAATTAATATTTTTGGCGCAATAGTGTGTGCATTATATGAAATTTAAAACAATTTTTTCTCAAAAACGATTTCAATTTTTTTTCTTTAATCTTGGTTGGAATTGCGCTAAATGCACTCACTACAAGCAATTCAGAGTTCGACATCCTAACCAGTTAATAAATGTTTAACTAATCTAAAGAGTACTTTAATTACGATAATACTGAAAAAATGACACGTCAGACTTTACAATTCTCGGGGAGGGTGGAGAAATTCTAACACGTTGTGGGTGCAAGCATGATCTCAATAGAAGCCAATATAAAAGTTCCACGACGCTGAGTACACTCATACCTAGGCAAAGCCCCAGCAGTCCACCACAATTGGCTAGAACACAAAAGGAACATGTTCATGGCGTTTTTTGTCACTTTATTGCATTTTAAGACATTTCAATATTTTATTAGAAAATATAATTAATAAAATTCTCGTCCGATCTCTTCAAAATATATTTAGAATAAAATAATGATTACAAAGAGATCGGGCGTAAATATTTGAATATTTGAAGCTCAAAAGTTCAGAACGACTACAATTTTCTCTTGAAAATTTATCACATGTTTCGTTTGGCTGTTTTAAAGTTAGGAAATTTGAAAATGTTATCAACATTTTTCGTGTTTACTTACCGATCATGTCGAACAATACATATAGCTCTGTTCGCCGCCTCGGGATATAATTCGTGTCTTTGAAGTAAATGTACATCTGCGCTCCTTTAAAGGGATACGATCTGAACAGGAGCAGAAAATACATATAATTTAACAGCTTTAATGCTTAAGGACATAAAATAAATATTACCAGAAATAATAATTGGAAAATGAAGAATAGTTAATACATACCATTACAAGGAAGTATATTATATTTTTATGTAATATTTGACTATAACAGTCACTATTAAGTATTTTTATACCACTTGAAGAATTTTTTATGTTGAATTACTAGATAATTCACGGCCTTCCATTGGGTGTAGGAATCATAGCTTTTAACGCTAATTTATTTAATGACCTTAATACGATCTTACAACGCTAATTTTATTAACAGTGTTAATCGCAACTTTACCCAACCAGGATATTTTCTTTTTCAATACGTACTGGACTCCCAGAATTTTCAACATTTTGGCTAAATCCATGGGAGTTCGAGATCTCTGGCTACTGTAGTGGATGTATACGCAGCTTTGCAAACAGGAACAAGTCAGTTTGGAGGAGTTTAGTAATCCTGTCTGCAACTGCTGCAGTGTCCCTGCAAAAATTTGATTGTAGAACTTAATTCACTAAAGACTGATTCAGCAGACAAAAAAATTGGTTTTTCATAGCTAAGTACAATTTAGAAAATTCAATATAAATATTTTCTATAGGACAATGTAGCAATTTTAATGCAAACAATCTCATATACAGTTTTATGTAATTTGTAGCTCGGGAGTAAAGAAGGGGAGTATGGTACAAATATCTGGTGGTAAAAAAGACAAGATGACGAAACTTTGCTCATATTCAAACTTTTTACATTATGGTGAACCCGTTTACAAAAATAGAGCGTTTTTACAAAATATGTATTATTGGGATGTAAATGTTTTTCTTCAATTTCAGGTAATTCAGATTCACTTTCAGGAATCCATTGGTTTCGTCATATTTTTATGGTAATAACGTGTTTTTAAATGTTGATATTAATTTATCCTATACTAGAATATGAGTTGTATATGTGGAGGTTATATAATACTGCAAAAATTGAAGATTTTTGACGGGAATACATGTTTTATGGGAATTCCCATACTGAAAAGCTTGTGTTTTCAAAAAAGACTGTCCGGCTGTCCACCCACCCATCCATCCGTGGTACACTAGCGAGTACACTAAACAAAGGATTTCTCTCTGTGTAAACGAATTATGTCATGTGAAAAAAGTAACGTATTTTGTATCCCCTTTTCTGTCCGATGTGGGGGAACTTTCGTGTGAGAAATTTGAATCTTCATTGTCATCAAAGATGGATGATTCTATCCCAGATCTGTTTCCTCGCTGAAGATTGGTTTGTTTTGTTTACTGAAAATGGCACGTGCGCACTACAAAAAAATACAATTATGTTCCTTGGTGTATTCTATAGTACCCGTGTGAACGTTATGGTCTGTTTTTTAATGATACGTAAACATTGACAGACCCAGTGGATAATGTGGGTATGGTGGGTATGTATACCCATACGAAATAATAATGTAAAATACCCACTCGGGATTTGGTGTGAGAGAAATAATCTACAAACGTCAAATTCCAGATACGAACGACGTTTCTCGGTATTGCATCGACTCCAAACGTATATGCGATCAACTATGATGCAACATCGACCAAACAGTATTGCAATTTTACAGGTTTACAGTGACGACAGAAATATTGATTTACAAAAATTGTCAAATGAGTATATCAAAAAATTCAAATTGCAGCGCTGTTTTTGCATTGCCATGATGTGCTAAAGTTACCTAAAATAAATGTAATAATTTGAAGACAATTTAATGACAAACTTGAAAATGTGTGTCTTCTGTTTTGTAATTTTCCCTTCTTATGCGTTTTCGGTGGGAGATGTAGGGAGTAGGGGACTCCCCGCCCGGGTCAACTATCCCCTCGGACTTCGACAATCATCGACCCTGAACATTGATTCAGTTCAAGGGCGTTAGTGAGGAAATGGTTTTCAAATCTAAAATTCATTAAGGTTGCTACGTACAATTTCACCTTCTCTATATTTTTCTCACTGTTTCTGGCTACAAATTTCGATCACTTGTGTTCACTTTTGTAATGTAAGCAAGTAATAAATGAACAAGTTTCATTGAGTGCTTTTGAGATTTTTAATATTAAACTTATACCGAATTATTGGAATACTTATTATATTGTTTAAACTTACATGCTGCATCTTCACTGCACATAATTTTGTCGCCTGAACATATCGGAGTATTTTGATCTCCTAAAAATGAAAAGAAAAACATTTTTTAAAATAGAATTTTATTTTTTGTGCGTTAAAGTAGGGGAGATCGGGGATATGTTGTTTTTAATTCCATTTATCGCAAGGAAAGTAAACTATAATGTTGATGAAATAAATCATATCAATATGTAAAAGGAAGACTTGGCTTATAAGTTATCAGTACTATCATTCTTGTGTAAGTAACTTCTCATACAAACGGAAGGGAGAATAAAAAAGGTGTCAAAACTGGAATTGCGAACTTTTCCAGTGGTCTCATTAAAACGTTGTCATTCCTAGGAAGAGTTTAACAAAGTGCTATTTTTCACCTTTCAGACTTGCAAATATATATTACTTCATAGATGTTGTTGATAACCACGTTCCATTTACAGACTTCCACTGACTCCCAGTAATTCAGTTATCGACATAAACATTAATTACTTGATATTGAATCTGAAAATCACTACTTTTTAGCAAACCAAAAGAAATTCTAGATGGCTCAAGATTAGATACTTTGCAATATCTAATTTTATACCCGAAAGATTTTTAGATTCTCCACTCTGTCATAAACCACTTCTCACTCAAAACAGTAACTAAATATCGAAAATTAAACGTGTTTTTTTCACATTCAATAAATTGTATTTGTATCTTCGTAATAATCTAATTACAAAGCTTCAACAACAATTTCAGAAAGATTGTCTCTTGACAAATACTCTTAAATATAATCTGGGAAGAGCGCTTAACCGATTGGAAACTTACCCACGATCTCCCTCACTATTCTTCTTTAAGAGCTGAATTTTCTCTTTAGAGTTTTAATTGTTCAGTTTTTTCCATCACAAAAAGTATTTAAAGTGTTATCCCATGTTCTAAAAGAGAATTGACGTATTTGAAATAAATTAAATAATTTAATGAAGACTAACTCTACTAAAAAATCTGGATCCACAACCACCTGGCCATAGTTTTCAAAATGTAGGGTCTTTTTCATTTTTCAAAACGTTAAAGCTTTCTGAAAAATTTCAGTGTCTATACAACATAGTAACGAATTTAATTTACTAGGAAAGTAAACTATATGGATTGCAGTAGCAAAGTACAGGCCTGCAGTAGAAAATATTCTATTAAACAAAAATTCATAAACTGGTTTTTTAAGACATAGCATTTTCACTGCTCAAGTACACCAAATAAAATACATTCGTACGTCTTTCAATAACCATTTTAACTAAAAAAGGGTTCATGAATTTTGCAGTTACATTGTTAAGTATATGAACAAAACAAGACATACCAGAAATACCAACAATATTGCTGTTGAGAAACGCAACACGAGAATAGCAAGCTATTATTTCATGGAAGGCAGCGTCTTTCTTGGAGCCTAGCTGTCTCATGATGTCAAATGTGCCGCAAGCAATGACACGTGCAGTATTAGAGTAGGCTTAATACAGTAATCAAATATTTACATTTATGGTCAAAATTGAAACTGTTTCAGTGTTATTAGAGTTACCCCGATTTCCTGGGTACCTTGCAAAAATATAGACATCTCTCGCTTAGCCTGATTGCTGCGCGTATTGAAAATTATTAAAGATATTGAATACGATTTGGGTTATGAGAAATTAAACCAACCAAAAAACTATCAAAAAATCATGTGTAATACTAAAAGACAATATATGTATTCAATGAATTAAAGATTATAAATGTAATTTTTGTCAAAATAGCCTTTTGTTAAATAGAGTTCTAATTATAAACATTGCTGACTACTGTTATTGCGCAACTGTGTAATGTATTGTGTTCACTAGTAGCTCATAAGTAATAACCTTAGAAATCCACGGAACTAAAAATAATAACAAAACCTGTATGACCTATTCCATTAATTTTCTTGTCGACACTGTCCTCAACTGCAAGTTGAGGATATAACTATTTCAAAATATGTATGAAGGTAAGGTATGAAGCGAAAGTAAAGAAATATACAGTAGTTCACGATTAGGAACAATTGTGCATATTAATTCTTAATGTTCATATAGAACCTTTCATCTTGGAAATATATTATCCGTCGTAAACACTATTTTGGGAGTGAAAATTTCTGTGTCACTGCAAACGATTATTTACTCACGAGGCATGTAAAATGGAACGCATCCGCACTGGCTCAGCGTGAAGTTGGCGAGGCACTCCAACCTGCAGTTGGACTGCGTGTACTGCAAGAAGAAGCGAAGCGGCCGTTCTCCAGGGAAGTAGCACTGGCGCTGCTCTACGGAGTACCGCTCCCGCATGCTCGCATCGGCCAGAATCTGAAGAAAACGAAATATTCGTTGTATTTTGGGAGTAGCAGTTGACGTCACTAATTGGTCATGGTATTTGGGTTTGTGATTCTTTGGTAGAATAACGTGTAACATATTCACAGATTTAATTTTAATATGCAACACTTGGTCATAAAGTGTGTTGAATTAGGGGATCGTGAGGGTAGGTCAAACAATTTTGTTGCTACATTGTCTATGCTTCGGCGTTTTGTTTGACTTCTTTAGGGCTATAAGGTGCGATATTACATAGTAAGTAGCTTATATTAGAGCGGAAAATTCACAGTAGTCATGTCACTCTTGTGGCACGTAAAAGAACCGTGGCGGATGCCCGGCAAAATTAATTCCCAACGATAACATCCTGCCCTAATGAGATCTCACTTTCTCCAAACAGTTTGAATATAGTTAACTGAGCCTGCATCAGAGGGCTACAACAGCTTGTTCCCTTAGTTACATTCAGCTGCACGACACTGGAATGATAATGTTGGGAGATTCTTGATTTCTGCCTATGGACATTATTTGTTGATCTTTGCATAAATCAACAGCAATCACCCATCGTATTGGGGTTGAAGCTGCGCTGATATCGTACTTTCATGGCCGCTATCCCCTGGCGAAACCTTTCTCCGTAGTCGTCCTTAAAACTTCCGTATTTGCCTGAAATAAGGTAAGATGCGAGAACAAGAAATGCATCTTCAGTACCATTCGACCAGCCGCTGACAGGATGCAAACAATTCGTTTACAAGATCAGTATATCTATCTACAGTTTCTAAGGTTGTATACAACAACCACAAATGCGTCCCAAGATTCTTGCTTTCGTTCTGTGAAATCTAATCTCAACAAACGATCTCAAATCAACTTCCGGTTTTCTGGTCCAATGAAGACTTGCTTTCAATTTTGCGGTAATGAAAACCACAATTTATTTGATTTATTGATGTAAGACCCAATTTGATGTCGAGAGAAGGAAGATAAACTTTCTTGTGGTCCTAGAGTCAACTCGAGTGAGTATATACAGGTTTATTTACAAAGATGTACATATATACACAACCTCACTCTTAAGGCGGTTTGTTAGAACTACCACAGATGCCCCTCTACCCTACATGCGCATTGCAGCAACGCCTGCGACAGACCTGCTAGGCCGCCACGCAAATTGGCACCTGGTGTGCCCCGGCAGATCGACAATCTACCTGACAGTGTTCGAGAAACACGTCGTCTGATCCGAACACATCGAACCACCATGTGCCGTCGGTACTCCGCACCAGCCTGGGCGGACAAAGTTTTGGACTCACCACGAGGAAACCAGTGTTACCCACCCACGTCATCGCGACGCGACTTTATATAGGTGCTTGTCACATGACCTCCCACGTCATTTCTCCCCCCCCCCTCCAAGTGCTGGATAGAGACAGCTCTGGCGTTGTCTTTGCACGCGGCCCCGAGTCTTCTGGAAATTCCAGCCTTTTGTTCGGGCAGCTATTTTTAGAACCCTCAACCCTCTACCTTGCGCTTCAGCGCTGAGCTGCTGCAAGCTGTGACGCTACACTATCGTATCGATATTTTGCCACTTTTATGTGGAATGAAATACTAGAATTATACTTGGGTAGGAAAAGGTATGTTTCATTTAGTTTTAAAATTGTATGTGCCGTTTCTTGTTTATTTTGAGTTATGCACGTAAGTGTCTTATTGATTTACCTCGGAGGGAGTTACTGTGATGCGCATAACGCTGTCCAAAGGCACCAGGAAGGAATCCTGATCTGGGCGGGGGAAGTCCGCTACACCATGGAGTTGCACCTACAAAGACAAGAAATTCGTAGGTATTGCAGCAAACATATGTTACCCGTCACCGTTCCCACCGGTGTGTGAGGCAAATGTTGCATATAAGCAAGAGGTATTGTAAACAGGAGGAAAGTAATAAAGGCGAGAAATACATAATATAAAGTTTTGAAAAGAAAATATTTTTACGTGTGTTAAAATGCTTTTCTGCAACTCATTTAAAGCTTGTGAAATAAAATTCTTAAATAGTAGATTGTAAACTGCTTTTTCAACGTGCGTTGACGCCGTTGTAACATATCGATTTCAGCAGCAGCTTATTGGAGCATTTGATTACGACCGGGTTTGGCCAAAGACGTTAAAATCCGTAGTTGTAATAGAGTTAGTGTTCTGTACTTAAATTTAAAGCCAACAGATTTGTCACGTCAGAGGGAGAGTTGCCTGAGATTGTGTTGCAAATAATTACACTTGATCTAATTCAGTACTTAGTGAATATGAAAACAACTCATTTATTATAATTATTTTGCAATAAATCTGCAGTCAAAAGTTAAATGTTGTACATGTAGGGAACAGTTTTGTGACAATCAGTTATCGAATCGGCATTTTTTCTGCCGCATTAGATAAACTTTCTCTGAGTACAAGGTAATATACGAGAAAGTCAAAATGCCTTTTTAAAGTACAATATTACACATTCAACGCACATAAGAAAAATACATTTTGATTATTATAAAATTGTCTCTATTTCTTCTCCTCTAATAATATCTTTTTTTATCTCCTTCATATCGTGGATAAGCGAGGTTCCACTGTACTTAAATCGAAATTAACCGGGCTCCTTCAGTATTGATACCTAAAATATTTGTCTTCACAAGGAATACTTACACATTAGAATACTAATACTTAAATGTGCTCATTCGTTGCTGATATACTTGAATATGCTAAGTACTTATAGTTCAGTACCTTTTATAAATGTAATGTTCATAATACTGAGGCATCTCTGACAAATAACTCTCTTGTACGAACTTTTCATGAAAATATTCTTAACAATTTATTTCTGCACTTGAGACATTTCATACTTTTGTAGAGACTATTCAGTAACTTTACATTGAACTTTTTGGATTGCTCATACATAAGGAAAGAATATACAATTTCCTTCTGATGAACACGATGTATATTTGGGGAATTAGATTGCCTGTTGAAACGGATGTCACTCTGTTTACCTGTTAACGTGACATTTTCACTGAAACGCTCTTGACCTCAAACATGTTTCGTCGACTTAAGAATTTCAAAAAATATATTTAAAAAATTGGTGAAACAACAAGACAATTGCTCCATCATGTAACATTCAATTAGTTGAACTATGTCGCAATGGCAAACTTTTGTCGCAGAAGAGTTAGTACTGATATTGCAGTGAATGTTATAAATAATAGCAATAAGTTTATGACCCTTATCTGTTTGACGCAAAGCAAATTTTAAATATAAACTATCGATTAATTTGAAAAATTCCAAAACTTTTTCTCCTCTTAGTGTTATTTACTCAACATCTACTCACATTTACAATGGAAGTGCTTGAAATTATATATAGATCTAAAAATTATGGAAAAATTGCATTGACAAAGACATCTATCACTAAAATATTGGAAGTTTAAGATATTATTAAAATTATACGTTTTAATTTTTGTAATTTTTAAAATTTCATAGAATTTAACCAACATCGGAACTATATCATATTTATCTACGTACTTTCATTTAAAATTCATCTTCATTCAATGAAAAATGCAATCATTTGGCAGAAAGTTTTGAAAATGTCACAATGTAAAGTATGTCGAAAATAAAAATAAACTAGCCCCGCAAAGGTAGATATTTATTAATTATCAGCTCAGAGGATTTTAACCCATTAGTGGGAACTTTGGATCTATCAGATCCAGGGACATCCACGGAGCAGTCTGTTAAGAGAACAAAAATGCTTATTAACGTATCTACCAGTCTACCTTAAAATTGAACCTTCTTGAACAGATGTAAATTATTATTTTCAGCTTATCACAAATGTGATGTGTTATTTCCGTTCAAAGTTGTTCATGGGTCGATCTCACCCAACGTTTCTATTTTTAAAACATTTTAAAACAAGGGCTATTTTTAAAACATGGCCTGCACATCTAAAAGTTATTTTAATGTATTAGATACGAAAGATAAAATTCCAGAGCTTTTAGAAAACAATGATTGTTTATCAAGTGATGAAATTGGAGATTCATAATTTGAACTAGAAAGTTTGCATAGTTCGGATTCTAAATAAGAATTTGAAGGAGCTGATCTTGAGAATCACAAAATTGAAGTTGACCCTTGTGTAGTATATTTATTTATTTGTAGTCTAATTTTCAAAAATAAAATCGATATTTTAAGGTGTTAAGAACGCAAAATATATTAAATTTTTGTAGCCTATAACACTTATCGGATAGCATACAAAAAGACAAAATGGTCGAAAGTATATCGTAAAATTTTTTTCTCTAAAACACAAATTGTAAAACAGTTTTGTGAACAATGCGTCCTTAATGTTCATCTCATGCAGAAACATTTTGTAAATATTGCTGTGATTAAATTTCTTTATTTTGTTTTTTTCGTTCGATCACTTTCAATTTTATTTTTTTGTTCACTAATCTAAAACATTTAAAAATTGGGATATATTTCGTGCTTTATAGTAGATAGATGATTTATTAACACCTTTACTTCATGATAAAACATTTTTGTAATTAATTAGCACTTTAAATAGCTTCTAATTACTGATCACTGAGGACTCACTGCAAGATTAACTACAAGAGTCCTACCGTCCTCGACACCTCTCGCGGGATTAACGTTCCAACCTCTGGGTTAATCTGGCAGTTATGCATCACCCAAGTCGAGCCCATCCCAATTCGTCTACCCATCAACTCATGCACATGTACATACATTCCGATTTGGAGGTACAATATAGCATGTATCTGCGCACAATATTTACCAATGTTAACCATCTTTAAAAAGCACCAATAGTCCTCAGTTGTGACGTGCGTGGGAAAGAATCTTAAACGTAGTTGGAGATAGTTTTTTTAGGTAATCTCTATACTTTTTTCGCACACTGTAGTATAAGAAGGAAAGGTAAAAATATAGTTGCGGAACATTCTATACTATGTCGTTTCGCGTTATTTCTCGATAGGCTGCAGGAGCAACAGAAAAACTACGGTCAGTGCAGCCTCAGCGATATACTAAGAATAAAATAATACTGAGGTTGGCCGTTCGTTGTCATGTGGTAACGTCACTGCCGTAACATACGCATCGGTGGATCAGAAACTTCGGCATATCTACAGTGTCGCGACACACATTTATATAACAAATTAATCGCATGGTTGGAATGCCACAGTCGCGAAGTCTGTAAGAAGAAAACTAAACTCCTGTGGAGGGTATATTTATGTACGTATTGACCCTGGGTGGTCTACTACACCTTACAATAATTTGGTCTACCAGGAGAAGTTTACCCCTAAGGGGACACCTAAGCTTTACGTTTTTATCCCCACTCTCCGCCGGCGGACAAGTACGCCGATAGGTTGGTCCCTACCGAATGCAGTTTGCCCCCATGATAACCTCCCCATTCAATGCCCGGGTCGGGGCGCTCTGCTAGCTCAGAGCTACCGGCTTTCCAGACCAGTACCGGAGTCAAGTCGATGCGCCACTCACGTACGCCGGCACACGTCCCTCCTCTAAGCCTAGACCATCGAGCCACTGCCATGACGAAGCCAAGTGCCCGACACGACGCTACAATAGCTAAATCCAACTATGTTAGATGGCGTGATATGCGGCAAAGCTTTTCCTCTCCACACTCAACTGTCAACTATTTTCTTATTTTACTCGTATTCTTTTTTGATCTCAATTCACAGAATTTAAACCATGGGGTTTTGTCGTGCATCTAAAGAAAATTGAGTATTCTACATAGTGAAACTTAGAGCACTGAACAATGCAGCTGCACTGAAGATATACCGACTTGTCCAGGGGTTCCCAGTTTAACAGATATCTTTAAACCGTTCATTAACTGTGTATTTGAGAGTAAAGTATCCCGGTGATTTTTACCAATACATACGCAGAAATAATAATAATATGTATTGAATATTGAATAAATATTGAATAATTTATGTGGATGTCAGATATCATCCTGTTTGACCTGCTCCTTATATTCTATCTCGAATACTCATTGGCGTACTAGATCGGGGCCAGCATTAGAGTTGAAACTGCAGCGACTCTGACTGAGGGGTTCTAGAAATTGAGTTCTGACGGTGGCGGATTTTTCACACGTTTAAATACGTAAATCAGTCACTGACTGTAGGAGAATTCTAGGGGCCGGCTGTTCTGATCAATTCTCAAGATCGGCTATTCCTCCGGTCACTATCAGGACGCTACAGCAGTACCCTAATAAAGGGGTTAAGGATCGCGCGTAATATTTTCTTTCTTTTTCTTGTCATATCCTCATCCCTTTCTTTACTTATATGCACTACACTGTCACAAATGCCGGGAGCTTAGATCTTGTCTCGGCTGGGGTGGTGATGCTCTGGCGGAAGATACCTGTTTGGATAAACTCACGCCAGCCGACGTATAGGTCAGCGCCAGAGTGGAGAAGGAAAACTTCCTTCTACCGCGATAAAACATTCACTATACTAACGGGGCTAACGGCCGTACCAATTGACATGCCCAAAAAATCAACCAATTTACACTCGTTCAGAAAAGGTCTCAAATTCTGAAAACTCAAGATTTATGCGAATAGGAATACTTAGCGTAAGAATATATGTAAATAACAACTACCTACCTTAAATCCCTGACTCATTTGTTTGCAGAAATAATCGATGTGTAAGATTGCAAGATTAAAAATGAAGCCAGCATCTTTTCCGGCACCTAGTCCCCTGTAGGGATACGCTTCAAGACCAGCATTTGCGTGATATCCATCAACGATACTCCATTGAACATTAACATTCTTGTAATTAAGATAGTTTCTTGACCCGTGGAATCTAGAACGATACTGGCTGTTTTAAATACTCTGGAAACTTTTTAAGAACAAAGCTTATATTAAAAGACAAGTTTACTTACGTGTATTTTGGGAAAAGTGACTTCCTTGGGAGCATATTAAAAGAAAAACATATGCCTTCCTCTGTCAGGAGGGGTTCGAAAACCCCGTATTTGAGTTTTCTTCCAAATTTACATTCTCGAACTGATTCTTCGGCACGAAGGGCATACTGAAAAAGTATATACACTTATCTTTCCAACAATGGAAGCTGGTTTTAAACGTTTGCATGCTTTAGATCCAATCTTTACGAAATAATATTTAACATAATGTAACAGTTAGGAATCGAGGTGAAGAAAATAACGGAGTTGAACAAAAATTATTTTTGCAAACATTTTATTATTTAAATCGTATTTTAAATAAATAAAATGTTATAAATAAAGTATTTTAGTGTACTGTAAATTTTGAAATTTATGAAGTAATATTAAATAGTATTTAGAAATTTTACTGCCATGTAAATTGGTGAAAATAATTGAGAGTGCAGTCAAATATTGCTTCTCACTACGCATTTTTATGGGATATTTACTTTGTTTTCTTTATACTTTCAGGTACCCTACAAATGGAACATTGGGAGCTTATTATTATCATCAACAATTCAGAACTTGAAACGCAAAAAATAAAAATTAAAAAGAAGATTTTCAGAATTCGATTTACTTAAAAAAGAAGTTAATGACATTTTTTAAAAAAAATTAAAGACTTTTTATTTTTAAACCAATTGTCGAAGCGACTAAATAGCACACATTTGTTTACACCTTTTACAAGTCACTTTCTGTCTTGGGCAAAGAGATTTTCTGTACCTTCTGAAGATACCGGTTGCTTAACTGCAAATGTCAATCTAGTAGGGCTTATTTATTCCGTACAAAGTAAGTTATGTAAATGTGCCGAATAAGTGTTAAAAAACACGCCATTTGGGACCATGACACCGAAAAATAAATCAATGATTCAATTAGTTGAAATGGATTGATTTAAATCATCGTCCGGTAAACATAATTTAAGAAAATATATTCCCTCACATAAGTTTATAATTTTATAAAATTGATTCATTTTGCTGTCAGAATTTTGTCAAAAGTTAATAATGTGAAACACGTAATGAGGTACACAAAATCATCATTTTCCACTGCAAGTATACAATTACAGTTATATGACATATAGAAACAATGATTTTGTTTGTTAAAGAATATAATTCATAGGATAGATACTTTGACTCGTTGAGTAATTCTTGCGTCTCACCTTTTCTAATCTGTCTATGGTGGAAGAGTTTCTAAAATCTGTGTCATCAAAATGAAGTTTGATGTCACACTGAAGTGAGAGATCAGTGAGAATATCTTTCCTGTAAAACATAATAAAAAAAACATTGTGAGACACTTAACACGTAAACACACTCTAGGAACAAACATATTACGAGGACTAAAGAAACCTAGGAAAAGCATTTTATTGCAGTCAATAAAAAATGCTGCTGCGAAACAATTGATTTTAGCCCTCCCATACATTACGAGAAATTGTTAGTAAGATTTTAAAAATGTTTGTTAGATTTACGACATCGCACTATTTAGTTAGGTACATACATTTATTAAACCTCGGAAACTAAACTTCGATATTACCGACTCATTCTGATCATGAACTAAAAGTCAAAATGTTCTACAAAATTGAATGAAATCAGTTCGTATGAGTTACTTGTAGTCTAACACTGGAACACCAGGAACAGTACAATAAGGTGTGCACATACAACTCTCATTTTGGAAAAAATACTGGGGAGGGGGAGATACTTCTAACAGGCCCGGGTTTGAATGTTTCCATTGCCCTTCCTTGGCCATTAAAGCATTAGCAACACTGCGCTGTACAGGTCTTTGGCCCCGCACACGGAACATTCTGTAATATTGATGTTTTATCTAAAAAATGACTTTTCACAGCCTCATGCTATCATATCACCAGCACATAAGAAAACCCATTGTATAAGTGATACTCAAAACATTTTATTTTAGTTATATAATTTTAACATTTAGAAAGTAAATATTTGTGAATTTTTCTTCAGTTTATAACTCAACAGAACTTAAACTTCTGCCATGGTCTCTCTCCAAAAAGAGATTTCTTCTACTTCATTAAATAATATACCATTGAAGAGTGTGTGTTCAGTCGATCACTCGGCCCTTGGGATAGATAACGAGAAAAAATAGAAAAAATAATCGCGTGCGGAACTTAATTCGAATTCTGAAGCGCTGCTTTGGCATTCAAGTGGAAGCAACACCATGGGTCAGAGCAGTCGATCTGCAAATTCAATTCTGACAGGTGCCACAAACTCTAGAATCATAACCGGGAGAAGGTTCAAGGTTCCATTCCCGGCGGTGGCAGGATCTGTGAAGCTAGCTATAGAGGTAGGTCGGATTCAGCTGGTGTCTAGAGAAGAATCCTAGTAGCCTGCTGCTATGATCGGTAGTTTCCCGTGGTTTTCCATGGTTTCTCCAGGCGAATACTAGAGCAGTACCTAACAAACGCACGCGATTCCTCTTTCCAATTCCTTGTGTTATCCTCACTCCTTACTTATGCTTACATCCAATACTCAATTATATATGTCGGGAGATCAGCCGCGAGTTTCGGGCTTGTACCTGCTAGAGGGTACCCAGCTGGTGAGAGATACCTGGATGTAGGAATCCCAGTTAGCTGACTGGAAGTTCGTTTCCAGATCTCACCAAGCTGAGAGAGATGACCGCCACATCTCAAAGAAAAAAATCATGCTGCATTTACAAAACTAAATGACCTTATCACCTGACCACTCGCAATCATCAGTCAATCAATAGAATGCTAAAGCATTCTGCAAGTGTCTGGCAGCCAGTGAGACTTCCTAAGCAGCTTGAGCCTTAAGAAGTTGTGTTTCCAATGAGATATCAGCCCCTCAAAAAATGTCTATATGACAAACTTACTCTTCGTCTGTGATATTGCCTGACCAGCCACGTAAGACGACATCCGTGTAGTTGAAGAGCTTAGCATTCATCTTTGTCTCGGGGCAGACGGTGACGGCAGGGAACGGGATCTCCCAGACTGCACGCTGTCGCTTGTCCATGGCCACGATGACAGGGGATGCTAAGTAGCGCTCCAGTGACTTCCAGAAGAGGAACAGGAATGCGGTGAGCGCCCCCATCACGGCCACCAACCACAGAACTCTGCGAACGAATCTCTTTTAAGTAGGCAACGGGATCTTCTAGAGGGTGCGCAGTCGCTTGTCCATGGCCACGATGACAGGGGACGCTTGATAGCGCGACAGCGACTCCCAGAAGAGGAACGGGAATATGGCCAACTCTGGACAACAGCCACAGCCCTGCGAACGAATCTCTCGCAGACAGGGAACGGGATCTCCTAGTGGGTGTGCTTTCACTTGTCCATAGTAACGATCACAGGGAACATTTTGTAGCGCACCAGCGACTCCCAGAAAAGGAACAAGAAGGCTGCTAGCACTCACAGCATGGCCCACAGCCTCAGAGCCCTGCGTAAGAACGATATGGGTATCACCCCGACATATATCCAAATTAAAAACGATGGTCTCCTTTTCAGATGCTTGGCTCTTATAGAAAACGATGAGGAATGATACCCAAACAATTGAAAACATTGCGTGCGTCGCCATTTTACCTGCTTCACTTGAAGGGTCAACACCAATGCCAATCTACATCCACATACATTACCTGTCGCATTTGCGTACAAAATCGTGTTTTATTTCTATACCTTTCCACATAAGGCCTTTGTCGCTCCGTGATGTACTTCAGTCCATGAACACTGATGCTGTCACAGAAATCAAGAAAATGTTTCTTGCATGTTTGGGGCTCCTTCGTCACATCTCCAACTGACCTACTCCTCCTCATGATTTACTACAATTTCCGAAAGACACTTGTGAAATGTTTTAACACAGAAAATTTGTCACTTCTTATAAGCGAGATTTAAAATGCATCAATATTTCTTTGGTAATAATTCGATCGCTTTTACATAATTATGTTGGTGCTACAAATATTATTCGTGTGGCAGAGTGATGTGGTTTGGTCCATTAATATTCCGTACAATTTGTACATTAGTCGATAATAATTATTCAAAGACGTTATTTCTGAATCACATTCAAGTTCATTTTATTTTGTGTGAAATTGGGAGCGCGGGCGCGACCGTCAAATCGCCTATTTGCACCGGAAACCTTCCGGGGCCATATGATTTAACGCCTGGAGCTGTCGACCTCGTTGGATAACTAATAATTTGACAGTCTCATTGGTTCACCAATAAGAATTCTTAAATTCTTCATACAAATTGCTATATTTCTTGGTCAAATGTCAGTCACATAACGTAATCAATAAAAGAGGTGACAGCAACTATGATTTAAAATGCTGTAAAGAAGGTTTTGGTGTTCTAGAATAAATATTTTCCATGAAATAAACAAATTCAATATTTAAATAATAATACTTTTCATTTTATGAAGAGAATTCCATCTTCGTTTATGGAACAATGAGTTTTGAAATTGGCCAATGCTACTGATGATTTCACGTCCGTTCATGTTATCGGAAAAATACTCTATACTCATTTTTACGTCGTGAAGGCACAATGGGCTATTATGGACAGTGTTATTCTTATGGAAGAATCTCGAGACATGTTGCGAAATCGATTGTTGCAAAAATAAGTATAAAAAAGGCATTTCTATAGAGGAAATGTCGAGGAACAGTGATGGTAATCATGAATCACGTGTCATTCATTTGCTTTTGAAATAAAATAAACAAAACCCCGTACTAATGCGGAACTGACTTTTTTAACACCTTTTTTTCTCAATCGTTAAAACATTTTCAAAAATTGGTGGAATTATTTTGGAATAATCGATATAGTATTTCAGTTACTCAGCTGGGGGCGAGATTTTAATACATGCATTAATACATTGTTGCTGGAAAATTTTCGTTCTTGAAGTTCAATTAAAAACTTTCAGCGACAATGTTTTGGTTAAATTCGCGATATTATTTTCTATCATCGCCCGAAGGTCTTCGGATGCATTTCTTCTGTGTATTTGGAGTGTGTTTTGAAGTCGAGCAGCCCGAGACGTGAGGCTTGATGGGAGACGCAACGAAAAGCTGAGGCACAGAGGGGTTACACAAGGCGCGTTGTGTGACCCTTAGGGATAAAAGGAACTGTTTGCTTACATGCCGTAATCAGCGGAAAGGATCATTCAAATCAATACTCGATGATCTTGAAAAGTCCTTTCAAGAATTTCATGTTGTGGTTAACATTCATCTCATAATACCACACGCGTTGTAATGATACTACGTGGGGGGGGAGGCCAGTCATTGACAGTCATTATTGACAGTCAGTCATAAATTTAGGATTTTGAAAACTAGACGCAAGGTATAATTTATTTATTTCACATCAAATACAATTAATAACTGTGATGAACTACGGAAAGAAGTGTATTCTATAAACGTTTTCTTTATCCTGGGAGCTCTACACTAAACCATGTACAAGTTGAATTATGAGTACATAATTTCAGTTCTGTATTATAGTTATTGCTATCTAAACCCGTGTGATTATATCGTACAGAAGGAAGTGCTGTAGGAAAGTTAGGACAGAAAACACTGAATACAATATGTTTTATATTTACCAAGATTTTTAAGGCCGGTTATACATACAGTTTTCTTGCAGGTTGGACGTACCGAAAACGTGCCGACCAGATTGCACGATATCTGCCTCAAAAATTTTGAGCATGTTTATAATTTTTCATACAGGAAGCTTACAGTGTGACCCAAGTGCCTCTAGCGGCAAAATCATTCACTAACGGATTTGTTTACCGGACGCAGTGTCGCAAGAGGACCGTATTTCCACAATTTCCTCCACATCTTCGACGTTAAATCCGTGTCGAGCCATGCTGATGCCTAAAGAATCCGTATTTTTACAATTTATGGAAATTGTGATCGTTTTCTTAGTTGACAATTTGGCGATTTAAGACTATTGAATTTGCGGAGAGGTGAGACAGAGTAACAGTAGATTAGACGAAGAGATACAGTGCCACGTGTCTGGCGATGTGTACTTACGCTGAGGTTAGGCTGTGGTTGTACTACCTCTGTCTTAATAATAATACACGCAGGTAACCTATTTTAGCTGTTTAGTTGACACGGATTACTTTTCTTTTCCATCTCATTATGAAGATTTAATAATCTCTGTCTGCCCACTTAATGCCTTGTAATGTATAATAATAAAAAATTACTTTGTAATAAATCACTGAGATATAATGCGTATTTTTGTACAAAATAATTATATAAAATAAAATTAAAAATTATAAATAATATACTATTTACCTTTGTATAACACTTTAGTTTTATATTATTAATTTTATGTTATGTATTTGAAAAACATAACATGTCCTCTCATGCCTCAATATCATCATTTCATCTTCCATCTTCCTAGGGCTAACAACTCTGGGGGATAAAAATCGGATCCAGCTAAATGCTGATCCTCTGATAAAAATACATGCACCTGCCACCGAGACAATATTACTTAGCGCCGGTAAATGCAAGGTACATGCACTGGTGATCCAAGCCGACCTGTTCACGAGTACATATATATATATATATATATATATATATATATATATATATATATATATATAGTTGTAGTCGTGTATTCGTAAAAGTGTGTTCGGTGTAGTGTTGTATTCGTAACAGTAGTGAAAGCAAAGTGTAAGAGTATTGCGTATCCGTATTCCAATTTCCGAGCAAAATACGCATGCACATATTCACATTTTACCACCTGCTTCAGCAAATATCCGCATCACGGCGCTTGAGATCCAAAGTTCGGGCAATTACATCTGTCAACACTGATCAGATGCAACGGTAATCAGCCATTTCAATTTTGAGGTTATGTATCAAATCATATTGTGCTAAAATATATTTTTCCCTATTTTCGCCTTCCTATTATTCTTTTCTATGCTCCTCTTGGTTAATTATCATCGTGTAGAGATCACAGGAAGAACACACACAACACACACAGAAATACCGTCACTGAAAGTATTCGCGTTTTTTGGTCATTTTCTCCTGATGGGAGAAAACGGAGTGTGGTCCAATTTCGCACTGCTTTGCTGCAACTGGCTCGGGGTAGAGGGACAGTCAAACACCGATTCCCGTTGACCCGTTGATTCCAAAATGAAGAGAAAAGAAATATCTGGTTACTGCTTACAACTAATTGTGCCCTCCCTCTCGTCGGGCACCTTTGCTTATAAGCGCCAGACAGTCACCTGGTGGAGGATTCGCTATTAAGTGGTTGTTCTCACTTCTGAGGAACTCCCTGCGAGATTTCACGTATACACTTGTCCTCACGTGCCCAAGTGTTCACGTGTTTGAGTGGATTGGCATTTTAATGCAAAGCAATATTCATTACAACTTTTAAAATTCATACGTGCTTTCGGGCTGCTCAGGACGGGTACTGATGTGGTCACAAAAGTGTGAGGCTCAGCTGTAAGATACAACTCCGTTCCCCATTGATTGCTCTTACTGCCCCAGTAATTGTTTTTATATTTTGGCTTTAAAAGTTAAATATAATTGATACAATTGTTTTCTGGATATTAACAATGCAATAAACAGTAAAAATATTATGAAAGTTATATTGATAGAAGTAATTTCTTTTAAAACATTGTAACTCAGACCATGAGGTTGTATGTCCGATCTTGACTTATTCACATCTAGGTGTGAGGTATGAAAATTAATTTGATATGTTAAATAATGTTGATTCTGAACGAAAAACACGGGGAATTTTTGAATATAATTTGGTGGTTTGGGTTCTAATGTAATTCCCTTAATTGTAATTGCACATGAATAATTAACATAATCAATATATGATCAGTTCAGAGGTTCAGCTTTTTGAGTCTGAGGTTTGTAACTAACACCTCATTATTTACACTAAAGAAGTGAACACGTTCTTCATTCAGTAGCTCAAAAAGTTGTACATTGTTTTCTACACTGGAAAAATCACATCCTATGGTATGTGTTGAATTACAATTAATTATGCGTGTAAGTTGGCACTGCATTTTTGAAGTATAACTTCAAAATGAACTATGTTGCTACGAATGCACAACAAACATCGACAGAGTCTGTCCATTAACACTTGCGATATCAATTTAGTATCTAATACTAAAATAAGATTGTAACGTGTTAACGGGCAGCTACGGCGGTAAGAGAGATGTAGTTTCGCGAAAGTAGCACGCATGGTGCCGGATTCGAATTGTTTTATAAACATCCCATAAGCGTCAGAAGATGAAATTATCACCTAGAGGCAGGAAAGGTTCTTATAATAGAAGTCCTAAACGATGAAACAGTAACTCCTGACTCCCCGGCAAAAATCCATGAGAAACACTAAGCTGGGGTGTGTCGTTGCCCCCAGCCCTTAGTGTATAACTTAATACTTAACAAATGTCAATGTATTGTCTCTTTAATCTATTGATAATCATGTGTTTAGTAAAGACAGTAATTATACTGTGGTAGACATTATTTTTCAATAATTTTATTTCCAACGTTTCGGAAAGTATTTTGTTTTCATCATCAGTACTGTAATGGTCAGTTCTGATTTAATATATTAAATATACTTACGATGTAAGATCTGCATATAAATTTGTACAAAATACAAAATTAAAAGCTCATGTATACATTTTATTGCCATTGTATTGTTGTATAAGAAAACATTTTTGTGTTGCCACACCACTGTATGAACGAAAAGGAATAAATAAAGGAATACGACGAACAAAATGAGAAGAAGGAGCGTGTTAATACTTCCGGTAGAGCGGGAGGGGGGAGAGGTGGTCGAAGGTGGGCTTGGCGCGCACCTCGCCCTGGACGGACGCCCCTCGAGGCGCCACGCGCCGCCGCACGACGCACGGCCGCACCAGCAGCCAGTAGAAGAGCTCGAACAGGCTGAGCACGCTCATGCCCAGGCACAGGCCCAGCAGGCCGCCGGCGTTGGCTGCAACACACCGCGTCCGCCAAAGCATCACTTCCTCGCTCACGGGTTCATTGATTGGCTTTCTGGCATGTCAACTGCTGAGGTCGTTAGTTCCGTAAGTGTAGTTGCGTTTCATTGCGGTATGCAGCGCTGATCTTCTCAGGTGATTGGCGAGATCCGGCGCCGTTCTACACATAGACTCGCGGGATTTTCCCTAACCAGGTATCTCCTACCAGCTGGGACAAGCTCTAAACTCCTGATGTGCGCATGTTGGTGAATTTAGTGTTGGTAAGGGGTGAGGTTAGGACTAGGAAGGAGTAGGATCGCGCGCAGTCCGTTGCCCGTTTTGTTGCGGTACTGCTTCGGCATTCACCTGGTGTTGATCGGACAAACCACGTAAAACTATAGGTCAGACCAACCGGCCACTATAATTCTCCTTCAGGCAGCGGCTGAGCTCGACCCATCTTTGTAAGTAGTGCCGAAAATTCTAGCACTATCGGTACTCGAACCCGAATTGTCTCCGGACGGATCTACCACTTAGGTTGTTAGACCCGGTAGGTAGAGTTTATGAGAAAACACATGCACTATTCATCGTATTCGGAGTAATGTGGCACTCTGAGTCACATAAGTAATTTTTGATAATCATAAAATTGTTGCCAGATAACGTAGGGACCACCTCAGCCAAAAATCCGTTTAAATACTATAAAATTATATGTAGTCGTACTTTTAGTAGCGGCCGAGAAGTAAATGGCAGCAAATGGGGTGTTTATGGTGTTTTTTGCATCGCTAAACCAATTTTAAAGACGTTTTTATTAGTTTCAATGGTGTTACATCGCAAACTGACTTTTATCGTTAAGCCATTGAATTCTATTGATTTCGATGTGTATAATATATGTAATAATGTTTTGAGACATAATATATGTATTGAGACCTAATGTTCTCCTAATGAATACAAAGATAATAAATAAGAGAATGGACGCGAATGCTAGAATGAACGACGCGAGCGACTGGCTCGCTTCCCGGCCTCCCGCGAGACTTCCGCAGGAACAGCGAGACGGCATTTGGAAACGGCGGTTGGGGACGGCAGTCGAAGCCCCAGTGGTGAGCAAAACAGGTGCATTGCTTTAGAGGGAACGGAATAATAAGAATTAATAGCGGTAAGTCAAGGGCGATAGTATAAAATACATTATAATTGCTGGTTTTTGGAGTCTGATGAATGCAGAAATAGAAATAGACTTGATGGTGAGATTGATTAGTGCTTTCAACAACTGAACACGTGTGAAATTATTACGAGTAATAGACAAGGGTCACATGGTTGTATAAATTTGAGTCTTTGGAGAAAGGTATATTCCCACAGTGCGATGGAAAACACATATAAAGAATAAAAGAAAATAATTAGACCTTAAAATTATCAGATTAAATTGGCTATTAGGAAAAAAAACTCATCTAAGCATCGCAAACAAAATTCTTCTGTATAAAGCATCACTAAAACAAGTCTGGACATATGGAATACAACTTTGGGGAGCAGTTCAAAATTCAAATATTGAAATATTACAACGTTTTAAATCTAAAAGCTTAAAAAAATTTGTAAATGCTCCTTGGTACGTAACGAACGACACAATATACCGAAACTTACAAATGAACAATAAAAGAAGAAATTAACAAGACCAGCGCAAAATACTTACGACTACATAACCATCAAAATATTCTTGCCATGAACTTACTAGACAATAGTGACACCGCCAGACCACTTAAACGATATCATACTTTAGACCTGACATATCGACTATAAATTGTTATATTATTTTCTGTTTTAATATTATATATGCTTATCATCGTATATTTTTAATATGTTAGTTTAGTTTAGTTATCAAATATGTTTAGTGTATGTTAATCTGAAAAAATGTAATATTAGGAGTACTGTCAATGGACCATACTCCTCTCATGTTATTAAAATTGTATGTAATTTTGCCAAATGTTTATACCCAAACAAATTGCAAAATAAAATATTATTATAAAAAAATGTAACAGCTGGCAGGTAGCAGCTGTTGACGGTTTCATCCAATCGGGGTTTGAACGTCACCATAGTGACGTTACTATGGTGACGTTGAAGCTCCCAATTGGATGAAACTGTCAGCTGCTGATACCTGCCGGAGGCAGCGTTGCGAAAATCGCAGTATACCCGAAGGCCCCGAGGGGGATCGAGCACTCCCGAGCGACGACGACTCAACGCAAAGTAACAACCGGTATTGAAAAGACAATAATCAATGTTATTTTTACTAATTAGATATGACAGGCCACAACGATGTAAATAGAACACATTAAAGAAGAGTTTATTTTTGTGCAATTAAAATTGGTAGCAAATTGGTATTATATTGTAAAGTTTATTGTGTAATATAGCTGGCAATGATGCTCAGGTTGTTTATTGTTAATAGTGAAGTGTTATCTGCAAAATCAGATTTGATTGTGGCCCTTCTGATAAGTAGTATTTCATGATAAAGGGATTCACACGTGTTATAATTATAATTGTATAAAAAGATCAAGATCAGAAATGTGAAACTAAAGAATATTAAAGAGCTCATAATAATTAATCATTCATGGTAACATTGTGTCCGTAATTTGATTGATACAGAAAATTGTTCATGGCAATTTTGATGCTGCGTGTGATATTTTTTAATACAATGTTATATAAATGTAACTATAACTTCCGTAAATAAATTTGTTTTGTTTTTAAAATCTTTGATGCTACTTCCATATACACTTGACATGAATGAGGTTGTCACTGCCATTAAGGATCCCTTGCGCTCTTTGTATATCTAGAAACAGAAATTTATATGTGTGGTTTCCCAGCCTGCAAGATTTTCGAGCTCAAAAATCAGGAATTCAGGATACGTTGGGTCACAATATATAATTTCCTTTTTGGCGAACCGTGGACTAGATATTGTGAATCCCACACATTGAAACCCAATCGTATTCTTTCTGATTATTATTACACTTCGTATGATTTGATATTCCAAATAATTATGGGAGCTCAACGGGTAACAAAAAAATTTATAGCGCTCTTGACTGGGCAACCTTTTCTTCCCATGACGGCTGCCATTTAAATTATTTATAAAGAGTATGGTGTGGGGAAGAAAGAAAGGAAACTAATTTCACGGTCTTAAAATTCGTCAATTTTGTTTACGTGGCACAACTTGAAGAGTGGGAATTCATATTTGAAGGAGTGGAATTACGTGTCTGCCGAATATTTGACTTACTTTGCTGATGTTTCCAATGGAGAAGTGAAATAACTACCTTAGTCAAACAGATTTTGAGATGGAGCCTTGGATATAGGTAAGTGAAATTGTAAATTTTCATAATCAAACCTTACCGCATAAATAATCCCTTAAGCTAACAGCCGTTGTAATAGGCTAACAATGGTGACGACTAGAACTAGTTTCCCCCATCAAATATAATACTAACAATTTCCAGCCATGTGTGTAATAGGGAAAAATACCGCGTCTCGGGACAATATAATAGAATGCAAAACACAACATTAAAAATGTCTTATTTGTTTGAATATGAATAAAACAAGGTATTGGGGTAAGAGTGATATGGAAAAATACATTTATTGTGATTTAAATATTATTAATGGAAACAATATAGTGTAACTTAATATTAATCGTAAATTTCACTATTACACAGGGTTCTCCAAATGTGTACTGCGGCACACCAGTGTCTCGAAATTATATAAGTGAGCGAAAATAATTGGAATAATATCAAACATAAGAAAATGTGGACAGTGTTAAATACTTTATCAATAATCGTTACTAATTTTGAGACTGGAACAGTTCTATTACAAACTGACGAATTAAAATTATTCTTCCAACAAATATAATATTTCTGAAATTACACTGTCAATGCTAACGTCTTTACTTTCTTCCATTTCTAATGAAGGAGAATACTCTCAACAAAATAAATTAGTACCTAAGTAAAATATATATGGCATCTTTGTTTTAAGGATATATAATTGAGAAAATAAACTTATTGAATGTAATGAATATGTAGAATGCATTTATGCAAGTATTTAATTAACTATTCAGCTCCGTTTAAACAACAAATACAGAACAAATTTGAATCAATTGAATCTTTTACTGTTTATTTGAATTGAAGGATGTAACTAAATACGATATTTTATTATAAACGAAAATGTTTGTCATACCTAATAAGTCGTACACGTCAAATAATTCCATTCTACGAGTGGCGATAAAATAAGTTTCACGAAAGTAAATTGATATCAAAAGACCTCGCCATTTTTTCCATTCTTTATCTCTGAAACCAAAAAATATTTTTCTTTACAGGAGAAATAAAGGATACAAAGAAAAACAGGAAAGAGAGAACAAATTAAATTTGCGCACACGAATACACACTTAGAGACAAATACAAGACAATTTTATACGTGATTAAATTGAATGCACCAAAGTTGTAATTTCCATTGACAAATGGGTTTACACTCCCTTCAACATACCTGTCAGACACGGTTCTGGAGTATTTGTCAAGATTTAGTCCTGTTCTGGACCTCTGACTCACGTATTCGATATGAGAACAACTCTGCAAGCAATTACACGTACGTATGGTTTCCGCTTTGTCCAATCCTGAATTGAGACGCTCCAGTCGCCCTGCGGAGAGGAAAGTAAATGTGTAGTATGAAATATTTGAAAATCTGTAATATTTCTTTATTTGGTGTGATGCAATTTGTGTCTTAAACATACAATTTTCCTTGGGATATTCCGGATATTTTAAAGCTGGCTTCTAAAATTGACACAGCCACCCTGGCTATATCTTAAAGCCACGCTTGGTTTTTGGTTTTAGAGCATTTAATCAGAAAAATTCATTTATTTTCTAAGTGATTATAAACTTTTTAATAATTTGAAATTAACTTTTCAAGAATATCTGTTTTCTCGATGTTATTCCAAATTTTAAAAATTCGAATAGTTAGAAATATAAAATTTCCTTTCCGAAAGAACCCTAAAATAATACTTACCTATATGATGACCTAGGAGTCAGAAATATTAATGTGTTGACGAATAATATTATTGCTTATACATTTAATATTAATCTGTATAATTTAAGGAAGTAAATGAGTCTCTTTTATATTTTTAGACTACCGCAATTTTTTTTCTAGCTACAAATTGAGAAAGATCATTCATTTATTTAATTCTGTCTTTTGTACAAATATTACTTCACTTCTTAAGTGTTTATACATATTCTCTGATTTATTAGAAGAAAACATAATTTATTTTAAAGAAGGGGTTTGGTTTTAAATAATTTGTGGATTCCATCTGAAGGAAATAACATATATCTAATAAGTTGAAAATTCTTTAATTAAGAAGTATTGGATACATGTGTAAAATGTTTTATTTCGCAATTAAACTGTAATATTTTAAATTTTAAATAGTTGCAAAATATTTTATTTACTCACGTATAGCCATTTGAATGCATTTCATTTTGCCTCCTCCACAGATAGGAGTATCGGCAACTCCTGTAAAAATACATCACAGAATGCGTGAATACTCATCAGAAAATTTAAGAAAATACGATAATGAATCTTATATTTCTTATGTAATCAATTTATTGTAGAAAGGTTACTAAATAGAGACAGTATTTACTTAAAAATGTCTTATGTACTACTTGATAAATTATTAATCATCATTGCAGTGACCTGGCAGGACCAACATTTAATTACACAAAACAGTTGTGTTCGAAGCTATGTGTGATGCAACTCTTCAGTTAATATTTTGCCCTGGTCTAAAAGTGCTTTGTACGTAATTATGGAGGGAACTACGATGAAATAGGACCACATGTTCCCATGTTTCAGTTTCACGATACCCTTAAGATATATTAGAGTGCTGTTTAACATGCGAGTATTCTCGCTCGGTTACGCTAATGGTAATAATATAGCAAATATACAATTTTGATGGTATATATTTTTTCTTTAATGAAATCTTCTAAAAAATGATTTTTAAATAAGGTCATACTTAATTAAAAATAACAGTTTTTATATAATTTTTGCTTAAACAAAACTCAATTTTATCTTAAACCACCTCCACGTTATTTCTTTAATTTTTCCTCTGATCGATCAAAGAAGTCTTAAAATCGCACAGGTCTTACTTACGTTCAACTGTCCGAATTTTCGAAAATGTGCTGTTGTGCTATGTGCTGTTGAGATGCACATATAAGCCTAGTTTTTTTGCAATCCAAGACGATGCTGTCTCATAAAAAGCATTTCTTTAGAAAAGAAAGTCTTAACAATTTTAACAATCATCTATGTTTTAAAACAAAACACTTGATTGGTCTCTAAGATCACGTGATCTAACACCGTTAGACGTTTTAGTTTGAAAAAGTATGAAAAATGACAATTTAATATTTTTTCGAAAATAGAGCAGATAAATAATATAGTGCATTGTTGATAGGGAACAAAAGACGCTAGGTGTATAGTGGCCGTTTGACAAGAGCGCATCAATGAACAGGAGTAACAAACAAGTGAACTGGTTAAGAGAGATAGGAAGTGAAAGCGAACAATTTTGGACACAACTATGCCGGATTTTGTAGAGGGAGGATCAATGACCGCCAGGGCGATGAGTGAAAGTAATTGAATATTAGTTCGTGGTAGATAGAAACAGACATGTGGTCCGCAGTAAGAAAGACTAGGGAAGATAAATATAATTAATTAGCGAGATAATGATAATATTCAAGTCGCAAATGGTAGCGAAAACGTAAAAGCTAAATTCAATGTGGTAATGAGAAGAGCTTCAGATGGAATTATGGAACAGTCACTAATTTCGTTTACTACTCTAAGATTGCTGGGAATATCTTTGAAAAGGGAAGTTTAGACAATAAGTGGCAGTAACACTTTAACAAAAAGTTGTAGCAATATCAAGTTATGTCAAGTTGTAAGGAAATATTAAGATAAAAAAATAATTGTTATACTTTTTTCTAAGGTATCAATGGCCATCAAATATGTAACCATTAGAAAAAAATGAAATAGTTGAACTTTAAAACCAATAGAAATTGAAATAAATTAATATTTAGCCGCCACTTAATGTCACTGGCATTTTAGTTACAAATTAACAAGTTGTTTAATTTTCTAGTAAAAATAGTGATGAATATTTCTTAACAAAATTAAATTACACAGGTCTACAAAAATATTTTTGTCACCTTTTTAGATCTAATAACAGATTTTATGTATTTAAAGTGCATAGATTACAGAAATGACTTTTCCCGAATTACATCAGGTTTTTAAACAATTTACATTAAAATATATTTATAATATCTTCAATTTGAATATCTGAAAACATTTTTTGGTCAACACAAAATTGAGATCTGAAGTACAATTTACCTTATATTATTTTTTTTACATCAGAGATAAGAAAATGAAAATTCAACACTTTAACTTGATTCCTTAACTGTTACTGTTACACTTTACTATCAAAATCACTATTTGTTTTTATTCGTATGAGTAGTCAACAGAACCGTTGTCGTTTAGACAAAAATCCTGTTCCACTTGTTCTCTTGTGCACTCTAGTAGGATAATCTCGTTGCACTAACAACAGTAGTCAGCCATCATTCATGTATTCCATCGCTCTTGGTAGCGCCTTTCAATGACTTTAATATTTTAGTGAAATCTCCCACCTTGTTTGTCACTCACTGCTCCCACGGTTCCTGGAAAACAGTCTACACGGAAGTGAAGGAAATGCACTTTCAGACTCCTGTTACATCCTAAGGATACATTTTTTCAGCATATTATTTACATTACACCCATAGTTTGGATCTTCATAATTTCAAGAATCTTCATAATTCAAGATTCTCTATCCGGAGGTATCATATATGCTTCAAAATTTTCAGCTTTAGCTAGTTCTCTAATCTGCGGCCCTACAAAGATACTTCTCTGACGTTTCCTTCTGAGAGGGTGGGAAATTTGTTTGTTAGGTACTTAAAACAACTGCAGATCTTATACGGTGCCTTTGTAAAATGCTTCATTAATACCAAATTTAAGGTGTAAGTGAGGCAACAGAATTTTGTCAGGAGCTAGCACAGAATTTTGTCTAAGCTGTTTTTAACAATGTTCTTGGAACCTGGAATCGGTGTGTTTCTTCTAGGCCATTTTCGTGTTGTCCAATGATTTTTTCTGTCTCGACGGCCCCATCCACAAATGAGACATGGGTACTTGGTGTAACTCTGTTGTTGTCCTAACAACATGGACAAAACCTTTAAATCACCGCAGATCATCCTCATAATTTACCTTTTCGAGTAGCAGTTTAAGATTGTCATATGTTCCCTTGTCATATGTCATATGGACGGAATGAGCGACTGGTACAGATGCTAAAGTGCTACCAATGTGTAGCAACACACCTTTTAAATTTCATTTGCTTGAATCATTGAACAGTCACCATCTATCAATTTTTATACTCTCCTCTAAACGTATATTTGGGTTTGAAATATGAGTGCTATATACTAAAAAGTTTTCCCATTAAAAACCCCTACTAAGTCTTTCTCTCTATTTCTGTAAATTTTAACATAAATCCTGGATCTACAAGATTGTTGTTTTTTTTCAGACGTGAAGCTAAAACTTTAGAAGAATCCTTTGAGAGATTTAAATCTCCGACCAAATCGTTCAATTCTGTTTGTCTTAAAGGTTTGGATTTGTGTTCAGTGTTTGTACAAAGAGATTCTTCAGCTGACTTGCCTGGCGTTGAACTTGAATCAGAATGCAGTACTGCGAGGTTCGAAGGAGGTTCTAGTATAGAAACGTCAGTGTCACGTGGTACAGGCCTTTAGCAGACTCCAAGTCAGGGTACACCGTTCCGCGTCTGTTATTTTTATTGAATCCTTTTACTTTGCAGATACAAAAATAACAATGGTTTAGATGGTTTTGGGCTTGCGCCACACCATAGGAACTTGAAAACTCAGTGCCTTCCTCATCTCAGTTTCCCCTTTCACCAGTTTCTTAACTCTGGAACACAAACACCACGGTTTATCCTAATCCCCTCGTTTCATTCTTAAATAAGCTTTGTAATCACTTCTAACAAATGAGGTTATATTCTGTCTCAGTTTTACAATCATATAAAACTTCCCAAAATATAAAAAGTATCATTTGGGTCTTTCACACACTATCTTTGCATGGTTATAGCACAACAAAGATTTAAACAAACGAACTAGTTCTTCGCAACGCTATGCTTGAGATGTATTCGAATATGTTCGTCAACACTGGTTGATTTCACTTCTGCACAGTTTATGTTATTATAAGCATGGAGTTATGTATATATTCATATAGGTATATAAAAATAATACTGTACCGTGCATCCATCTGACTGTGTTCTGTTACAAAATCATGCAAAATGAACTTACATAATCAACTGAATAATATATTTGCGTTTCTAACTCACTGAAGATGTGTATATTTGCAATATATTTTTGATCACAATTAATGATACTATTGAAAATTTTGAAGTGATGGAACAAAAGTAAGGCCAGTATTGGATTTGGTGACCAACTTACGTGTAAGACAAGTATCAAAATAAAAAATAGGAAAATCCATGTTGAGCTGTATTATTCACCTTCGAATGCTCGTATGCGCGGTATTTTCTAGGCCATCGGAGAAAAAGAAGAGTACCCTAAGAAAACTTAAGTTTACTGTTTCCGCCATTAGACTTATTTATAAAAGAAATTATAGGGGCAAAATATAGTGTGGTTAAATTACGAGTATAAAGAGAGAGAATTTTATAAAAGAGAAATTGTGAGTTCTTACAATAGCATGACCGAAGTCGGTAGGAATTTAAATTGTAATTTTTTTATAAAAAGAGTAATTTTTTAGTTATCACAATGGCAGATATAACGTAAAGTAGTAAAATATTGTAAATTCAATTATTATAAAGGTTGGAATTTAGAGTTACTACAAAAGGTTTGTGTAAAATGTTTATGTCATGTATAAAAACTCCCAAGAAAAATGTATTGAAGTAGAGGTATTGAGGTATTTTCAACAGGTGCTGTAAGTTTGGCACAATGTAAACTACGTTTGTAAATTAAATACATTGTAAAAGTGCTTTTACTTTTTCAATGCTACTCTCGGTAAACTGACTTTAGGGACACATTGTAAATAGTGCAGAAATAGACAATTTTATTTTAATTTGCATATACCCTCTTTCACTGGGCGGCCACAAGGTATGATTCTTACAGCAAATTGCATGATTTTGTAACCAAACGCTGCTTACTTTAAATATTTCTGTGCTAATTTCAAAGAATTACGTGACATATTTGCGTGCTTACCTTAGGGCAAAGAGCAAACATTTTGCATAAAGTTTCTCTACTCTTCACATAAGAAACGAAGATGACTTACGCGGCATGTAATAGGCGACGCATTCGCACATGCTGAGCGTGACATTTGCGAGGCACTCCACCTGGCAGTTGTTCTGCGTGTAGTGCTGGAAGAAGGCGAGGCGCCGCTCCTCGGGGAAGTAGCACTGGCGCTGCTGAACTGTGTAGCGCTTCATGTCTGGACTCGTCAGCACCTCGCTCGGCAGCACGGACACCTGCGGACGAAAGGTATCCGGTTAGCGCTTGTGGGACGCTGAAATATGTGCTGAAACGCTATGATTTAAATACGTCTTTATACATTAAACCACGCTTGCGTGCACGAAAGGGGATGTTTTAAAAGTTATTTAAAGATGTTACCTTACACTTATTTTTTTAAAAGAGTGTACCGTGGTCAGCATTGATTTCCAACGTCATGTCAGTTTTGTTAAAAATTCATATATTATAACATTATATTATAGATGTAACATCTCTCTCCCTTCCAAATTAACACTTTTAATGACCTGAGAACTAATTGAGAGTAAAGTGGGTCGTATCCGACTGATTAAAGCATTGTAGCCACAAACAAATTAATGCCATGGGGCCTCACCTCTCATTAATTCGCAGAAGATTCTTCGTTCTTGCTGCGAAATGAATTTTTAAAGATATTAAGCAAAAATTTAAATTATACAAGTAATCTTCAATATAAAAATTGTTGTAATGACTTTTTAGATACAAGTAAAACCAATTCAAAATACAGTGAGACTCCAAAATATTGATAAGAATGGTATTGGTTGGTACAGGATAGCACTAAGTACTGTGTAGCGCGGTTCTGTCGCAACCACTGGGAGTTCGGAGAGTTCCGGGTAAAATCGCAAGGCCCAAGACTCACTTTCGCCTCTCCACTGCACACCCTTTCAGTACTAACGGCGCGGATAACTCTGAGAAAGTTCGAAAATACGTCAGACGTTTCCAATCTTTCACCAGTTTTAGAATCGAGGCCCTGTGGCCATCCAAGGGAATACGTGAATACATAAATTTCTGTCATGTATTTCTCTAGATGTGAAGAGAGAAACTAGTGCTCTTTGCAGCACACTTACCTGCATCACGCTGTCCAGGGGCGCCAGGAAAGCCTTTTCAGCAGTGCGCGGGAACTCGTGCGGGGCGTGAAGCAGGAACTGCAGGCGAGAACATTCGTGTCGGTGGTATTCAATTGATTCATGATCATTCGTGTACTTTGATTGCCAATGAAAACCCACTATTTTCACTATTTTCATTTACACGAAAAGGATCTTTCCATTGCTTAGCCATATATCGATGATACAACTGAAAGCCCGAGTTTGATTGAAGACGGCTGAAGGTGATGGCTAAGCCAATGAAAGCTGCTTAAGTCGTGTATTGCGAACTGTTATAATACCAACGACACCTAATCAAAAAGCAAATATCCATATACTAATAAAAATGTTCATTACTGAATGTTTCATTATTAAATAATATTAAAAATAATCTGTAATATTGCTAAAATATAAATATGCAAAAAAGAAAATTATTCTTCTAAAGAAACACACAAGACGTCGCTTAGCAGCCAACGAACGTAACCCGCTAGAATGCCTACGTTGTTCCAGTCGAACGTTGTAGCTTCTTAGGTTTCCAAAGCGTTGAAAACAAAGGAATACTAAAAACGTACGTTACATGTACGCTAAATCACGTTGAACGAGAAACGTACCTTTTTCCATTCATAAAATGTATAGATCCAAAAGAAAGATACGTTTAAAGATTAATTTTATTTGCAAGCATTTCTTCTGGTGGTAGAGCACATTTCACATTGGTATCTTGCCGTTTTATATGGACTTGTTAATTGCAGAGAACATCAATGAACGACAGCTCGGACATTTGGAAAATTTTATAAACACATTTCCCCTCCGTTACATAAAACCTGAAAGAGTGAAAAATGATCCCGTCAAATGGCGCTCGCTATTAATGACATGAACCCACCATCTCGTCCTCTTTTTTCTTTTTTTTCTGTTTCATTCTAATGTATCCCACAATTGCTAAGACCGCGGCATCCCTGTTTGCTAGCACATTACAACGCGGCGTCCGTTGCGTCTTTAGGGATTTACTCTTAGACTTCACTTAGGCACTTCATTTTAATGATTTCGGAACTTTACCAAAAGCGCGCATCCGCTTCATGTGAAGTACCTCCGAAATTAAAATATCGATTCGAGAAACCGCGACGTCAGCCAGATCGATTAGTGAATATGAACTTTGGAGAAAAGAGGCTTTACGGTTCAACCTCTAGCGTTGCTCACTGAGAGACTGAGGATAGTCGTTTCGTCAATCGATTTTCAGGTATCATGGACCCAGAAAACATCGAACCTGGTTACACAACGAGTTAGACGTTTTTTTCTAAATTTAGCAACAGGATTTATCCAGTTTTTCGTTACTGGGGCTCAGTAATAAGAGTTTTTCTGTTAGAAATTTGCCGCTTTTCCCTACAACATTACATTACTTTCTCGTCTTAAGTTCCTTTCGATTAATTTACAGCTCTGGCAAAAAAGTTATGAAAAATACAGTTTCAGTAAATCACACGTTGAACAGATTCCGTTGGAGAATTGATCTAATCGAGAATTGCACGAATCTTTGAAAAACAACAAATTTCAAGAGCACTGAGTTAAAAATATACAGTACTAGCAATCTGTAATGACATAGGTGAAACACAAGATACTTGCTTACATCCAATGAGACGTAAGAACTGGACACCTTTCCTTTGGAACCAGTGAACGGTGCAGGGTCACTAAATTAAGTCTGCTCGGCCATATAGTAATACGCAAGAAATGGCGTGGTACGAATTGCCATTGAAGCAGTCTCTGGAAATTTCCGAACGTAAAGCCACCAAAAGCTCTTGTTCAGCGTTATCGCTTTCCTCTACGGGGCTTTTGGTTCGATTCCCGGTGGAGCCAAGACCATAGTGTGCGTTTTCCTTGCAATGTCCCAGTGTATGTTGCTGTGTGACTACGCAAAAATTCACTTCTCTGGTTGGGAAGACCGGAATACGGCGTGGGGATATTTATGTGCCAACCACACGTACCCCCTTAACCCATGGCCGCGAGGCAAGGACGTCGCCGGTAGGCCTGAGCCCGATCACGGGCTGTCGCGCCAAGTCCATTCATACATACATAAAGCCACTAAAACTTGTATTAATGAGAGTACTGAGGGCTTAGGTTCTTTCTTGCAACAACGCACGTTCTTCAAAGTAGTACACAGGAATTCCCACCTTGAGCTGCCGCAAGCTGTCCCTGAACTCAACAGCCTGAAACTGATTAGAGACCCCTACCCCATTACGCTGGTGACCGAAGAGCGGGAGGGGGGATGGTGGTCGTCGTTCGAGAAGCGACACTAGCGCCATCAAGTGGAGTAGCCGAAAACAACAATATTTTATTTTGGTTGCAAAATTAGCATAAAATTAATAATTGAAAATGAGTTAATCACTAGAAATACTTTCTAGTTCATTAAACAACTAACATGAACAAAACATACCTTAAATCCTTGTATGGTTTCTGTACACAAGTCATCCAGGTCGTTCTTTTGAACTCGTACCATAAAACTTATGCCTGTAGGTCTTCCAGATCCCAAAGCTCTATGAGGATAGCTCTCGATTTCCGCCGTTGAGTCATACCCGCCATCGAGAGTCCATTTCAATTCCACGTGTGGATAATTTAAATAATTTCTTAAGCGATGGAAACTGCAAATATCAACATAAATATAAATGTAACTAATAAGGGCACAATGGATCTCGAAAAAAATTAACTTACTTTAAAAACATATTTTAGGAGCATATATAACCTACTATACCGTTAATAGTGTTTCTAAACATATTAAACAATTTATTGTTCTCCACAACTATAAAAACCCATGGAAAATTCTTCGTAAATGTGAAAAACGAGTACTGAGTTTTTCTTACGTGTTTTCGGCGAAAAATAGTCCTCCTGGAATCATATTGTAAGAATAGCAGAGCCCGTCCCCTGTCAGGAGGGGTTGAAATTCTCCGTTCTGAATGTCGTCTTGACCAAATGATGGCATGTAAATCATCGGTATTTTTGGGAGTGCATACTTGACGTGGCGGTTTTAAAACAAAACAGAGTATAAAAACTGATATCACAATAATAATGTGCAAGTCATTTTATTGTAAACAGTAACAATGAATGATTATAACAATAACATAATAATACTATTATTATTATCATTATTATTAATAACGCCCGTGATAAACCCGAGAAATAATGAAGCATGAGAAACAAGGAATAATCGTGAATAATAATAAAACTTACAATAAGTTAACAGTAAGTTTGTTGCTCTTGTTGCCATTATGTTTCTTCATTTCTTTGTTAGTATTGATAAGATTTTTTTAATATACCGTTGAATACGAATTATTTTAAACTTACAATAATATTATTAAGGATAATTGTTAATATTACTATTATCATCGTCAATTTAAAGCTTTATGTGATTTGTGACTACACTTTAAAGTACAACGTAATAAATTTTAAAATTCTGCACATATTTACCTCTTCTATTCTTTGAATAGTTGAGATATTTCTGAAATCTGTGCCATTTGCTATTATAGATGTGTCGCACAGCAATGATAAATCTTCAAAAACAGATAATCTGAAAGGAAAAATAATGTTTACTATAAAACTGTACCATAATGTTCACTAATAAAAGTTTTTATATACTTCATTTCAGAATCTACGTCAAATTTTATTATTTCTCCGGTGGTACTCGCAATGTAAAATGAAATACCAACTCGCTAAATGTATCGGTCATATTCCCCTGCTTGTTTGCCTGTAATTGATGTTTCCTAATTGTTTTAATAACCTAGGGGTGCAACAACAGACCGTACTTTCTTGCATTATTTCTAGAATTCGAAGTTTGGAAAATTCAAAGTTCAATAAAAATGAGATCTGCGCCATTCTTTAATCCTTCCTAGTTCAATCAGTTTAAAAAAATAAATTGCATTGTATTCAAACACAAATTTGTATGCGAAAACTACTCGTTTTTTTCAAATGCTCATACGGGGTCTTTTTTAAAGATCTGATTTTTAGAACATATTTTATTTAAGGCACATATATCTTTCTTCCAAATTATAAATTTGGAAGACCTCACCGTAAATGGGACTAGCGCCAATTTTTTACCACCCTTTGATAAATAAGAGGAGCTAAATTAGGCAAAGTTGGAGCCATTTTAAGAAAATTATGTTGAATTTTTTAATGTCCTGTATACACACAAAATTGCAAAAAACTACTCATACTTTTGAGAAACTGTACATGACCTTAGTAATTTGGATTGTTGGAAATACGAGTTGAATATTGTGTCTCGTGTCATATTTCACTAAGTTTGCGTTTTTCTCAAATTTTATTTAAAATGTATTGAATGTATTGAAAATGTTAGGACTTCGTGCTCAGTACTCTCAATACTCGAAGTATATGTTTCCAGCAACAGGAGACCTTGAGTTCTATTAAATCGTGCGACGAAAATCAAATTTGGAGAAAATTGATTGAATGGTCTTTGCGCTAGCGTTGACCAGAGATAGGAGTGACGGACAGACGGGCAGGTAAACAGACGGACAGATAGACAGACGGCCAGCCAGCCAGACGGACAGGACGGAAGGACAAACAATAGTTTTTCTGTCAAACAATTTTTCGGTATCAGGGACCCACAAAACACGAATTCTGGCTACACCACGTGTTAGAGGAAGTCATTAACTACAGGAACAAATTTATCGTTATTTTGTCTACTTGGGTCCGGCAATGACAGATGTTTCTGTGAAAAATTCGCCATTTCCGGCACACGATTGGAATACTTTATCCTCTAACGAAGAAAGGCGAGAAAGTAAATATCGCTTTCTATTTACAAAACACACAATTGAATATTACTTAATACATTGTACACGTTAATTTTATTACAATTTTTAGATCTATTTAGTGCACGATTCTCAGCAAGATATAATCAGTGATGGATACGCAATTTATTTATCAGACACTAGATACCGTAGTACGAATCATCTTCAGAGCTTACCGCGAAAAGTATTGTTGAAACGAATCACTCAGTTAAGGTGACTATATTTTACTTTCTCGCATACGACTAACGTAGTAAGTAGAAATTATTTTAATGTTGCAGTAAAAGCGCGTTTTGTTTATCCCTCGTATCAAAAAAGTGGACAAATATTGTTTCTCTATGTAGAAAATAACTTCTTACGGGTTGTGTATCATCAGAATCATTCTCATTCTGTAGGTCCTTGATACCGAAGAAGTAGTTTACGACAAAATAAGATCTTTAAAAATATGTATGTATGTTTTGAAAAACCAAATCGTGTTCGCTCAATTTCTGCTTCAAATTAATCCAGATTATAAAAAAAATATTTTCTCAAAAACCACCTCAAATTTTATCTTTACTTTTCTCCACGACTCTAAGAAGAATGTCCCCGGACGCATTTTCGTTGAACTCTCAGAAGTTTCAAAAATTGCAAACGTTAGAAATAATGATGGAGCATTATAAGTGCGTGCTTGTGCGCCCTTTGTTTCATAATGTAATATTGTAAAGAATCTACCTAAAAACAATGCAAATCCGTTTGCCTAACTGAAACCATCTCAGTATACTTTTTAGAGTTGCTCAAAACACTTTTTAGTTTACTAAACCTAGGTTTTTGGAGACATTTTCTAGAATCTTAACGATGAATTATTAGTTCTCCACCAGGAGACCGAGATGCGACAAATGGCAGCTTATTTTTCTCGATTGGTGAACGGGAAGTTATCAAAGCATGAGTGACGCACAGGCACACGAACATACCCTGTTTAGTCAAATACTATAAAGGGTCGAAAGGAACTACACTATATTTTTGACTTATATGGTACACTCAATGCCAGATACCGTGTCATGCAAGAGTATCTTCAACGAAAGGCTTAAGTATTTTTTGTCATTCGTAATGTATACGAATGTAAAATTTAAAATTCTGTAACTAAAGAAATCAAAAAGACATAGTTTATATCTGTTCTTTTGAAAATTAATGCTGCATATTATTGAATTTGGGTATTAGTAAAATGCCCACTCAGAAACAAAAATTGGTTAATGGTGCCACATAAAGCTGATGAGTTGTGTGTTTATTCGAGTTTTGTAATGTATTTTAGTGCTCGGAAACGTATGGGATTCTTTATGTGTTTTTTGTTTTACTAAAAAAGTTAGAAATAGGTTTTACGCATGCCCTGATTACAAAAAGAGTTGGAAACTTAATATATTAGTATTTTTCCTTTATTTTACATGAAAACAACGGGAAAATATCGGTTATGTCCCAAAGTCACGATTTCCGTCGGTCATTCCTTATATTACAAATTGTTAATATGAAATTGTTTATGCCTCGCTATGAAGAAATTTTTTCGTTTATCCCAATCTGTAAGTGCTGAGACATAAAATGCAATGCAAATTCTAATATTTTGCTTCAAGTCGCTAGTTGTCGAGTTATGAACCGTCCTTAGGCCTAAAGTCTTTAAGATTTTGCCTTTTTAATTGACCTGCTTAGAATACAGTAACCCTATTCCCAAAACCCGGTCATTTCAAAACGCTGTCACTAGAAACGCAACTTTCTCCTAAAATTATTCAACAGGAAACTTCTGTTTCCTAACTTGGCCGCCAAATTGCCGCACCTGTCAGATCATGTATTCCTATAACGACTCTGGTTGTGAAGTCACTGAAAATTCCTGAAATCAGTAATATAGTGCTGCGAAATATTTTGTTACAGAGTGGAATCCAAACGATGTGCCGTAACATAGTCCATTGATGTCTAATCCACGTTTATATGTTAACTACGTTCACGAAGTTAATTCTGCCAAAATAGTATCATAACTTTAATTTCTGAATGCAACAGTTATGCATTCTCTCTAAATAATTAACCGCCAACGAGAGCGGAATAGCTGGACTATGTAGGGCATTTTCGTACACTGGATTTTAGACTCAAAAATAGCAAAATGAACATCGGACAGGTGGTATGTGATCTTTGTTCATAACGTTTTAGAACTCAAAAAACGACTTTAACGGTTTTCTGTGCTTACAATAGTTTTCTAAGTATTGAATGTGAGTTGTAAACTGTTTTCTACATAGGTTATATCTTCGAAAATAGAATTTATTCAAAGCTATCTCGCATGCTCCCTAAATGATCTCCTATATGTATGGTTTCTCAAAGTACTTTTTTTAAACATTTGTTGCGTTTACATAGACGCAACGTATCTCGAAGGCCATTGTGAGGTATTGAGAGTTTCGCACTTTTGGAGAATCCATCCATTAATTACTGCACGGGAGTAATCCTCCATTAATTAACATTGTCCGTCACTTATCGTCTCAATCAGTTGTCAAGAGGACCGCCAGGTAGCATTTCCGCGAACGCGTCTCTTACGCGCTTCTGCATCACTACCCAGCGGGTAGAATTTGGTAGGAATTAGGATAGGGGTAGGGTTTAGGATACTTCAAAGGGGTTGGCTAGTCCTTGTCAAACAGCCAAACTCGTTTTGTCGGAACAAATTCCACATGAGAATCGAATCCGGGAATCGAACTCAGACCTCAATGGTGCCACCGAGCCAACTTAACAGCAAAATTTCCTTTGAAACATAACCTTAATTTTATGAAATGAAAGATTCATTATTTTCTTAGCCACGAAGAGGCGCTTTAACCAACTTACTCGTGCGGGTCACTTTGTCCGTTTTTGACTCTATCGTAAGCTTGTGAGAAGTTGAAGAGCGTGGCGCGCATCTTGGTTTTGGGGCAGACGGTGATGGCGGGAAAGGGTATGTCCCACACGGCGCGTTGGCGTTCGTCCATTGCGATTATCACCGGCGAATCCCGCCAGCGCTTCCACATCTTGGAGAACATGAACACGAACGCCAGCACCGACATCACGATGGCCACCGCCCACAGACCCCTGGGGACAGCACAACGAAGATTGATGAGGAACTGAAAAATGTTCGCGATGAGTCGATAAGTGAAATATCCGAAATTAACCCAACTAGTTTAACTTTCAGCTGCTGCTAAGGCCGTGCTATTAAATATCAGTTGCTGCTATTGTATGAATAATATTTGTCTACTTGACAGTTTGGAGGATGAGTGATGTTGCCAATTACTCGGGCGGCAAACACGAGCTTGCGTGGTCGTTGCATCAGATCATAATAGTAGCAAGAAACAAATCGCAATAAGAGAACACAACAGTAGACGTCACAGAACGATATACGCCAATGCATAACGATGCATAACCAAAGAAGTAAGATCTTTAATTTTCAGTTGCTTCGCACTGTTAGATTTTATTTTTTCTTAATTAGTATCGACAACTTTGCAGTGATGTTGGCATAATTACAAGCCTCTGATTGGATAAGGAAACCCCTGCTTCCCAGTCAGCCGCTGTTAAGTAGACAGAAATATTATTCATATAATAAGGCCGTGAATATATATTTTAAAAAAATATGGTGGTAATGCTTTAAAAATAAAATAGAACAAAGATAGCTGTCTCATTGATATGTATTGCGTTAACCAATTTCTAAATTTGCAATGTAATGCGTTTAATTTAAATGAAGTTCCATAAAATAGCAATACTTATGAAGTATTTTTATTATTCTACATTGGAATTCGTGAAATTGACCAACATTTATCTACGGAAATGGAATTAGAATAACGAGGTTCTTTAATGACAAAAAATACAGTAATCGAGAATATTTTATTTTAATAGAGGAATGGTATATGCATTGAAAAAAAAACGAGAAGAAATTTCATTTCCTGTGTTGTGCGCTAATGTGCTTGTTCTCTTGCATGTGCCCGACTCTTTGGAAAAATGTGCGTGTTTCGTATGCTCCCTCAAGGCCTTGCATGTTTCCATTATCTTTTATGTTCGCCCAAACTATGATCTTCTTTCAACAATGAAGGATCATTATTGAGTACAAGGAAAACAATTGGTGCTTCAACAGCACGTATTTTCTCGCGTTAGTTGTGAATGGATTTATGTACTATTATAATATGACAATTTCTGTTTTACACTTCAAGTGTTGAAACGAAAACAGCTTTCTGCCATTGAATTCAGTGTATTCACTTAATACACAAATAATTTGTACCAACAATTTGTCATGCATATTTTAGCCCTAAATAAAATTATTAGTTTATATTAATGCGAACGAAAGGTAGCCGTCATTATCACCGTCTGTTATCAGTGCGGCGTTACAACAAAGGTTTGCAATATGCAATGACTACTAATTCGTATGGGACACACATTTTGCAAATTAGTAATCTTCGTTCCACTTGCCAAATATCAAAATGGAAAGAAAAATATAATTAAATATAATATTTTTATATTCATCAAATTCCTCGGTTTTTGCACGCTCAACTCTTCATTTCTACATTTTTTTTATACAAAGCGAAACCATCTATTCATATTCACATTTAACTAAATTAAAGGACGCAATTTGAAATAAGTTTAAACTTATTTCTAAAAGATTAATTTGTAAACGTATAAAAAACTCAAAAAAAGAAACGAACCAAAAAATATGAAAAATATACAAATGCTAACTTACGGAACATACAACTGACTGGAATCTCATTTTACGTTCAGAAAGAACTGTAAATTCACAGCGAGCATCTATGTTTATGTTCAAATTACACAAAAAGTACTCAATTTCGAAAAATATAACATGACTTTATTTGAAGATCTGTTTTTGATGAACGCATATCACAAAGAAAACTATTCGTGCTACAACAACACATACTTTGTCGCGTTTTTGGAAGCAGCTACGTAATATTGAAGTATTGAAATTTCTATTTTACCAACACCGCAGATCTGAAAACGTCTTATTCATACAAAGCGCCTCTGATGCATATCTCTATTCATTTCGATAGCCAGGACCAGCAATCATTTCTTACTTTGACAAATGAAACAATAAGGAATATATTTGACTGATTCAGTAGTCGCAGCAAATGATACATAAGAGAGCAACGCGCTGTTGCCTGCGCAGCGTTGCCAAAACTATGTTCATTCGCTTCGCAAATAATATCAGTTCTTTGCAAAAACGCCTCAATCTTTCTGTATTCAAATTTGAAGTTGTTTATTGGCTAGTCATTGTACATCATACACAGTTGATAAATAACCCTTATAACTGATAAACTAATCAAATTACGAATATTCTGCGATTTGTAATATTAAGTTAATTTTAACCACCTTGTTATATACTATTGACACCGCCTCTAACGAAGCGCAGAAATTAAAAGTTTAAGGTAATATGTTCATTAGATCGACCACGGTGAAGTACTTCCAAAAATACTTTAAATTAAATTATTTTTTTCTGTTCTTCAAGGCGGTAAAAACATTTTGACCATTACCGGCCTAATTTTTAATAAAAGAAGATTAAATTAGTAGTACAGGCTCTAATGCAAAAACTTTCGCAGTATTGTGTTGTTTAGGTTATTGAAGATGTTATACGGTTAATGTACCTATTTCTTTTTTAGTTTTTTGCACTCTTCTGTATAATTTGCTGCAAATAATATATCAGTAAAATTAATTCTTATTTGTTTTATTTGTCAAAGTAAGAAATTATTGCTTGTCCTGACTATCGAGATGAATGCAGATATGCATCAGAGACGCTTTGTTTAAACGTTTTCAAGAAATAGTTTCGTTTGGAAGAACTTTTTCAAACTGGGGAGTTAGTGGAGCAGAAAATGCAAAACTTCAATATCACGTAGCTGTTTCCAATAAAGCGAGAAAGTATGTGCTGTTGTAGCACCACTAGTTCGTTTGAATTCAATTCAATGATGTTTTCTTTACGCGCTATTCATCTTGACATTTGCGAATATGATAATAACATTCACGAGCGAGTCAGTGCCATTTAGTATTGCTACAAGTTTCTTCACTCATCGGGACTTTGAATATTCGCGATGAGCACAAAGTTCTGATGAGATATAATTTTATAGCTGGTACGTTAAAATAACTGTTTTGTCTTCAAAATTTAAATATTCCCCTTCGTTTCCATCACCTCTCGTGCCGTGGTCTGCTTTCTTCCGCAAGGTATCTTACTCCAGGAACACTTGTGCTCTCGCAAAATTCCATGACATGCTCGCGAATCAGCTGCTGGTTGGGTCGGAACCTTTACAGAGAAAAACCTGGAATAATTATATGCACATTGATTAAATAACTATCATAATTAAATAAAACTTACTAAATCCAAAAAGGTTTAATCGGTTTCTACTTTTGCTTGCTCATGTTTTCTTGTGCTTTCACTTTATTCGTACTTAATGCGAAAGGAGTATTGGGTTTACTTATTTTTCCAAATCATACAATTAACGTAGTTTCCCCGTTTCCAAAATGTTACTCAGCCTAAGTCTGCAAAATTAGTACCATCTACTTCGGTTGCTGCCAAGAGAGAGACACTGACTTACCCTAAAAAATGCGGAACCTTGATTTTCGACGCCGTCTTGTCATTTATGTCCCGGAGCCATGCTTTGCAAAAGAATATCCCGTTCAAACCCTCAAGCACGGACTACAAAATTTGTTGATATGTCTTGACGACTTGTCTAGACTATTTGTATGCATCCAATTCTAAAGTAATCATACGTTAGATGCATATTTTCCTTTATTAAATGCCTTGGGGGGTTTCTGGTGTGTCACATACATAAAAATTTTCCGTTTTCCGGCGCACTACTACGAAGTTCCTTAACAGAGAGGAAGAAAAATGTGATTTAAGTATTCTTCGCTGTAAGTATTGTTTCCTTTCCCTTTACATTTGATAATAAAGGTATCTTTATGCTTGTCAATTGGATAAAGGTAGATTCGTCAAGAACGTCAGTGTCAAGGAAATGGCAGTTATTAAATACCATTAACTCGTAAAACTTGACGTCACCGACGCTATAAACTGTTTTAAAAATACGTTAATGTTTTGAAAATTTTTTCTTGTCCAGCTTTGTCCAAATATGTTCTCTCAATGTCAGACATTGAACTTACCAGTAAATCGTAGTAGCTGATTATGTTATACTCCTTTTCAAAAGTTCCAAACACTCAACGACACTGTGTGTTACCTCCATACGGGATATGAACTGATATTATTGCAAATTCAAAATTGTAATCGCCGTATCAAATACAGGCAGGTTGTGATGCTAATAGATGAATTTTAGAACAGATACATTTTTACGCTTTTCTGCTAATATGCAAAAAAAGCACATAGCGTATTTGCATTGGCCCAAATGCTAAATGCAGATATTCAGATCATTCCCAATTAGTTCCGAAAATTCTGTCGCAACTTTTTTTACAACTACATTGTTGTAAAAACTAAACTGTTGAACGTATTCTCACCAACTACTACAACGTTTTCATGATCCTGTGATACCTCAAAAGTTGTCGCATCAATCAGGTGGTCTGCGTCTTCATTACTTTGCTTTGCCGAGAAGCCTTCACCTTCAAACCTCTGAGTATGCAAGCTACGCGCTTGCATGAGAGCGCTTTAGCATGAGATGCGCTTTATGTTTGCCGTTCGAAAGGAATTTCTGGTGAGTCATTGTTACGACCATTCACTCGGTAAAGATGACTTCACGAGATGTGCATCTAGTTTCGGCGGAGGCGCTTAGCAGATTTGATGCTCTCGATGGGGAGGTCTTCTGGGTAGCAACCAAATACCACGCTTGTACTTCGGTTGTAGTGTCTTTTTAGGTAGTGAGCGTATTTGATTAGGATTAATTGAAATGTTTCCCCAGTCTTCCACACGGTCCGTTAGAGAAGAAATCCATCAACGATGATAAAAGATTCCACTTCCAGTTTTACTTAAATCAGTGATGTACGACAAGTCATATACCACTGACTTCGCAGTCTTCCTCATTACAACAGCACCAAGGGAAGGGGTAGATTGCCAGCTCATAATGTAACAATTCCTTAA